CGGCCGGGAACTGGGGCGAGCCCAAGACGTAACGGACAGGCTTATTGTCCCCCCGCCTCGGCTTTTAAAGCGCGTTGGTCGATAAAACAATAAACCCTTCCTGTGTCACTTCAAAAAACTCCGTCGCCAAATCGACGGCCTCAGCTACGCGCCGCCCCACGGTCGATCTCCACACACACACTCAGGTCCACATCTAGATCAGTGGTGCATTTCCAAACCCCGGCTCGCATTCAACGTCGGTTTTGGTGTGGAGGCTACCAGAGCAAGTTGGCAGCAATCGCCACGAGGCTTACCACATCCCTCTGCACAGTGAACAAATGTTCAAAGGAATGCTGCTATTGCGACAAACTCCCCATTCGAAATCACGCTAATTTCGAAAACTTTACAACAATATGCAAACTGAGACATAGTCGTAGCAGCGCAAGGTTAGAGCAATGCATATGAATCTACATGTTGCGGAAACAGGAACTTCGACAACAACGCATCAGAAACCAGAGGAAACACTTGACACAACAGGTCATCCACGTTTCATTCCCGTGATGTCCCCAGGCGGTAAAATTTACTGAGCGGACGTCGAGCGTGCCTGCCACGCAAGAAGATCACAGCGGCTCGAATGTGCCATCGGGACCTCACAGAAGTAAGGAGACACGAACCAGCTGCCACCGACCTCGCGGCCCCTCGCTTTGTACCAACACGACTTCATCCAAGCTGGGTAGACGGCAGGGCCACCCCTGGGCGAAGTACTCCAGCTCCATAGCGTAGCGGTCTGAAGAAGTGCACGCTGACTTTGGTAAATAGACGACATAGCTCAGTCCTGAAACTAGGCAGGGCACCTCTAGTGCCCAGCAATGCAGCGATGCTGCTATTACGACAACCTGGGCCAATTACCAATACACCATCTGCTCTCTGAGCAGTACTTCCGCTTCGTTTCATTTTGGTTCGCGTGCGGAGCTCTGGCAATGGCTGGTCTCCCATGACCACGCGCGTCCGGGTGCTGAGATGACCGCGCTCTGCCACACCTGACGTCAAACCCCCTCAGATGACCGCGCTCTGCCACACCTAACGTCAAACCCCCTCAGGTGACCTCGCTCTGGCACACCTGATGTCAAACCCCCTCAGGTGACCGCGCTCTGCCACACCTGACGTCAAACCCCCTCAGATGACCGCGCTCTGGCACACCTGACGTCAAACCCCCTCAGATGACCGCGCTCTGGCACACCTGACGTCAAACCCCCTCAGATGACCGCGCTCTGGCACACCTGACGTCAAACCCCCTCAGATGACCGCGCTCTGACACACCTGGTGTCAAACCCCCTCAGATGACCGCGCTCTGACACACCTGGTGTCAAACCCCCTCAGATGACCGCGCTCTGGCACACCTGGTGTCAAACCCCCTCAGATGACCGCGCTCTGGCACACCTGACGTCAAACCCTCGGTCAGCCCGTCTCAGTCCCCGCGACGGAGTCCCTCCTAACGGCGTGAAACACAAACCACAGCCAGGCGGCTGAAACAGTCACAAACACCTCGCGCCTGATGACACCTGATTAGGTGACAATACATATGCTCGTTCTCTGGGTGGGCTGCAGTCTGCGGCTAGCTAGGTCCGCGGAGAGCCCGCAGTCACCGCCGGCTGGCGGCTTTTTATGTCGTCCAAGGCGAATTGTTCGCGGCCGCTGGAGTGTAGCGGGCAGCACTAATGAAGGTCCGCACATGGTTCTACTCTGCTGACTTTACGCAGTCCATTCCTCCCACGAGTGCATACAAAGGCAGGCCAGTTGTGTTTCCGTTCAATGGAATTCCGACATACACCCAGCCGGCTGAGGCACCTGATGGTTTATGTGCAATGCGCTTGATGGCTCGTCTGCATGGCTGGCCTTGTCACGGCTCGCATTATCAATGCTTCAAGTGCAGCATTCGTCTTTATCTGTTAACCTTGTCGTTTGTTAGCCACCACTTGTTAATGCACGAGTAACCACCCTGCCCCCGTGCAATAGCACGTACTCCCTTTGCATGGTATTCGTTTGGCCATGATGGTTTGAAAGCATGCCCGAAGGCTGCTGATAGAACTTCAATTCTCGAGATTTGTATGGCCGCACAGCTGAACTGTTCAGAGGTCCAGCTTCTCACGCTAGGAGGAGATCACTGCGGACTGAGCTGAACCAAACCGAACTACGAACTGGACCTAACTGGGCCAATACACTGTCTGATAGATCCGATCGAACCACCAAACCAAGATGGGACCATGGGGACGGACCAGGCCAGCCACGGAGCCGAAACGACACCACCGGACCATGCTGGGTCATGGGACGGCACCAGGGCGGGGTAGCCTCCACCAGACCCCAGACACCGGACCGCTCGGACCATGCTGGGTCATACAGCGGGGCAGCCTCCACCAGACCAGCCCCAGACACCGGGCCCTTTGGCGCCAGCACTCCCGGCAACAACACGCAACGGAAGCGTGCCGGCTGGCCCCCGGCGCCACCGGGCGAGCCCCGCCGACCGGGCGGCGTCCGCCCGCTGGAAAAGGTCCGCGGTCAGCGAGCGCCCGGCCGCACCGGGAGCGCCTGACCAACCATTGGAAGGCGAAAACGGCGCTGCCGTGCTGCACGGCGGAGTGATGTGACAGAGATTGCGGGGAAGCCGTGACGCCGCAGACCTTGAGAGGCCTCTGCCAGCCATCGAGCCGAGATCGGTCCTGCCGCCGGGCCCGTCGCACTGCCCCGCCAGTGCAGCCGGTCTGCCAACTGGCGCTCCCCGGACGCGGTCCGACTGAAGGCAGAGGCGTCATCAGGACAGCCGGACGGAGAGGCAGACTAGACAACCACATACATGACAAGCAACCGTATGCCGTCTGAGAAAAAATCACGCACATGTATCCCATTGCGAAGGTACAAGTCGCATTGGAAGCGCGTGGCTCCGCGCTACCGATGACCTGTCTCCGCCCGTGGTGATGTGATTTGCTGGACCGTGGCTGATGCGAGGCGGCGACGGATGGGCGGGCCTCATCTGGTGCGCCGGGCCCGGCAGTCACAGGGCTACACAACCTGCAAAATGCTCCGCCAGTGTGTGGCGTTGCGGGCGTACGTCAATCCCGGCGTATACTGAGGCCAGTACCGGCGCCATGTCGGCCGCTGCGGGCGTACGTCAATCCCGGCGTATACTGAGGCCAGTACCGGCACCACGTCGGCCGCTGCGGGCGTACGTCAATCCCGGCGCATACTGAGGCCAGTACCGACGCCATGTCGACCGCTGTGGGCGGGCGTCAATCCCAGCGCGTGCTGACGCCGGTACCGGCGCCATGTCGGCCGCTGCGGGCGGGCGTCAATCCCGGCGCCATGTCGGCCACTGCAGGCGTGCGTCAATCCCAGCGCGTGCTGGCGCCCGCACCGGCGCCATGTCAACGGCGGCGTGACGCGCTGCGGTGCGGACGGGCAGGGCGGCGTCACACCGTCCTCCGCACGCCGTGACACCTCACCATAGGCAGGTGGGGCAGCGCGGGCTATGATCAGGAGTGCGTCGACATCAAGTCAGCATCCATCAGGAGTGCGTCGACATCAAGTCAGCATCCATCAGGAGTGCGTCGACATCAAGTCAGCATCCATCAGCAATGTCCATCGACGTTCAGATGTCTGAGATAATCCGATTGCATGAGAGGAGAAGACGATTGCATGAGAGGAGAAGACGCCGGCGCAGGCTTCGTGCCTTGCACGATTCCCGCTCTGTCATCATATATTTGAAGTCGGGACCGGGTGCAGCATCATGCAAAAAGCTGCATCTGCAAAGCCAGCCAACGTGTCGCGCTTGGCCAACCAGTTTCATGTTTAGCATGAAAAAGCCTCTCAATGATACATGAAGGCCCGGCCCCGTTAAACGCCAAGGTTTTCCCGAACTTTGCTGCGTTTGTTTCTCGCTTTCGACGTGAACTTCTAACGATAAAAGCCACAACAAAACGAAAAGATAAAGGCCAAAATACGTCACAGCAGGGTCGGGACGGTCGCAGCAGGGCCGAGGCGGCCGCGGCAGAGACGAGACGGTCGGCTAACACCTCCGAGACAGACACCTGCTGACGTGAGGCTTTGTCGGCAGCTGTCCGCACCCGCCAAAGAAAACGGCGCAGACGGCAGACGGGAAATCCACTCATTTAGCATGCACTTGGTCAAAAACGCAGAAAGTGCCCGAGCAGTCCACTTGTGCAGGAAACTGGCCCCAACGTGAGCACGACAGCTCCATAAACAAATACCCAGTCAGCGAGGGAACCATAACTCTCGTGACCAAATCCATGGGTGGTGGATGCGTCCATGCTCACGAGGCCCCCCACTCCCCGGACCACTCCTTCCGCGGCCGGCGCGTCCGACCTTGCCAGGAGGCCGCGGTCAGGCCGGTACGGGGGCGAGCGCCCCGGCTTGGTCGGGACGGGTTTGTGACGGGGCAGACGGGCGGCCTCCTCCGCAGCCCGCGCCTTGTTTGGAGTCTGACCGTCAGCGGGAACAGTGCACCGCCAGGCGGAAGGGCAGGTCGAGCGCGGCGGTCAACGCGCCGCTGGGGTGTACCGCACGTCGAGCGCGGCGATCAACGCGCCGCTCAGGTGTACAGCGCGTCGAGCGCGGCGGTCAACGCGCCGCTCAGGTGTGCCGCACGTCCCCGCGTTCTCCCGATTAGTTAACGCGATCATGTTTGGTTAAGTAGTGTGTCCGGCTTCTCCAGGCGAGGCCAGGTTGCGGATGACTTGCACGCGCCGGGTGCGCCTCAGTGGGGGCGGTAGCGGGACGCGCAGCTGTCAGGGTAATTGGTCGTAATCGGTCCCTCCAAGCCACCGGGGATGGTGACGGACCATATAGCAGTGCACTGCCTGCAACTTACCAGCAGGTGGAGGGTTATCACGTGCCATCTGGTCCAACTGAGGAAGGCGGCCATACGAAGGTGGCTGGGCCTTCAGTGATGTGTACACTGTGGCCTTATGTATGCCAAAATACTGACCGGGATTTGTTGGTGTTTGCAGGGTAGCAATGGCTTCGAGGAACTGCGAAAGTATATCAAGCATGGCGGCGACTTCTGCAAAGAGCTGGCGTCAATCCTGCAGGAGAGGTGAGTGTCGGAGTGCCAATCCTGAATGCTGGAGAGAGTGAGAGTAAGAGTAAGAGTGAGTGAGAGTGACAGTCCTGATAACAGGCGACCGCGCTCGGCGTACCTGAGTTCTAACCACAGCACGGTGAGTTCTGACCATAGCGGGAAGATACACCCGAAACTAGAGAGGATCCAGCAAAGAATCGATGTCGCTTTGCGAAGGATCATGTTTCAACAGACCAAGCGGCGGTAAGCATCGTCGCAGGCCAACGGCAGCCACGCCTTGTACAGAGCCGCAGCTCAGCTTAGGCCTGCCGTTAGGGGCGCTGCCTGTGCCAGCCGCGGTAGCAGCACATCCGGCGGCAATCAGCGGTCGGCTCGGCCGCCAGCGTCGGCAGAGCGGTGCGTGCGCGTTAGTCAAGCAGCACGCCGGACACGGACACTAGAGCGTGGAGGGCCACCTCAGACACCGTCTGCAGAAACACCAGCTGGTGGTGTGCCAGACACGGGCACTAGAGTGAGGAGGGCCACCCCTGACACCGTCTGTAGAGACATCAGTGATGGCGTGCCGGACACGGGCACTAGAGTGAGGAGGGCCACCCCTGACACCGTCTGTAGAGATATCAGTGGAGGCGTTCCAGACAAGGGCACTAGAGCGAGGAGGGCCACCCCTGACGCCGTCTGTAGAGACATCAGCACCGTCGAGCCAAGGTGTTTGGAAATCTCACTCACGGATTACAGATGTGATCACAGATCACAAATTTCACTCACGGATGAATCACTTGGTGGGAGCGCTGGTGCCCTTGTCCCGTTTATCATCAGTTTTACTGACCTCTTTGGCTCCCTGATGAACTTGGGTTGATTATTTACGCATTGTAAGCGGTTTGTGTTTGAACGCTGCCCCAGTTACTGGTCTAACAAGAATAACATTGCACGCATAATGTTAAAATGTGCCAGTTACGCGCTCGCAGTCAGTACGTATCCAAGCGCATGACGTCAGACGTAGTCGAACGCGTGACGTCAGGCACGAGTCATTTAAAACACGGCTTCTGTTCTCATGGAGTCATAAGATGTGAGAGCCATACGCGGCGTGCAGGACGTCAGTCATGTCACCAGATCAATGCTGTCAGTCACAAAGTCATCGGTTCCGTGACCTCATTCATCAGGTCATCAGCTGTGTCAAATCAGTCACGAGGCTATCGTTTCACGCCCTCATATCCCGTGGTTCCATCAGCCATCCGTGGCCGCCGAACGGCAGCTGCACTGATAGCTGACCGTCATCCAGCAGGGAAACTCGGGCTCCAAATGCCGCAGCCGCGCCACAAACGGACCGCCCTGAACCCCAAAAAGCGCCGTCACCGGTCCGGCCAGGCAAAAACGACGCGGCTAAGAGGCCGTCTGTCGCAAGAGCGGCAGCTCGGGACCCAAGCTGTGCACTGTGGCGCATGCGATGCGGTGATTGGACGGCCACTGCGGCTGTAAAGTGGCTGATTGGCCTATCTATTCCACCCGAACAACGGGCTGGTAGTCAACGCGACAGAGGTACAACTTTGATTACCCCATTGTTCACATTCGGTTCTCAGCAATGAGCTAGATGAATCGTGCGTCGGTTCAGAGACATGACTTCGGTGGGTGGACAAAGCCTAAGAACTGACATGGATTAACGTTTTTGCGTACGCTAGCTGCGTTCCATGGACCTAGTGCGACACTGGAACTTCGAAGTGGTCATGATCATGCATATGGAGGAAGTGGAACCGTACTTCCAACCACCATATGATCAATATCGTGATCCTATCGGCACATGTACGGAATTAAAGCATGCAAGGCCTAGAGCACGGGAATGAAAGGGTAATGAGCAAGAGAGTCCGCGGGCCGAACGACGAAGGAGCCCGATACCTACATTTCCCAGTATCCACCGCACGACCACGCCCTGCATGCCGTCGGCTGACCAACGCGGCTGTTGGTTAGCCAACGTGAGTCTTAATTGTGAGTCTTAATCTCTTCTCAACCGGCACCAACTGCGTTTGCACAGCCAGAACAAGACGGCACGCAGGCTTACACGGTCGTAAACGGACTACACGGTCAGGCAAACAGCCGTGTGGCGACGGCGGAGGTCGGCTCAGTGGCGGTGCTCGGGCTGGAGCAGTCCGAACGACCCTCCCCTCCGGTACACTGTCGGCCGGGGTGGCCACGGCCGCTCCAGCGGCGGCCTCGCGCCGTGGCAGAACAGAGCGCACAGTCTGTAGGCCTGCTGCCGGGAGGTACGCGTGCCAGAAGCGGACCGGCGGAGGGAACACCTGCCGACCACCGGGCAGGGGCGGGGGAGGGGGAAGGGGGGGGGGGGGCAGAGGGACGGAACGATCACGATTGCGTCGACGCTGGGGTGGGCTACAGCTTCCAGAGAGCTCCATATCGCTTGCAGGAGCCAGCTGAGACGATGCCAGCGAGTCATGTTACATGTCCTGTCGCGGTGGGGGGGGAGGGGGAGGGGAGGGGGAGGGGGAGGGGGAGGGGGAGGGGGAGGGGGAGGGGACGGTCTGCGAATCGGTTCCAGGTCAGCAGCAGCTCGCTGTCAGCAGCAGCTCGCCGTCAGCAGCAGTTCACTGTCGACAGCAGTGGACTGCTGGATCAGTTCCGCTCCCACTCAGCGGTATCTGGCGGCTCAGCTCCGAGCCGGGACGAATGTTGCGATGACCAGTGACGCTCTTGTAACCACCGGGATGACCAGCGACGCTGTTGTAGCCACCGGGATGACCAGTGACGCTGTTGTAACCACCGGGATGACCAGTGACGCCGTTGTAACCACCGGGATGACCAGTGACGCCGTTGTAACCACCGGGAAACTCACAACCTGGGCATGCTCCAGAGCCAAGCATGTTACTGACGGTACACCGACCGCTCCCCTGCTAAGACACGAGCTAAACTGCGACTTCGTGTCTAGTCCCTGAGAACGGCTGGTGTGGCTGGATGAGCATCACCAGTGCACGGTATCGCCCATGTAACGCTGTTTGAATACACTTCTTGGCACTGGACTTGTGACGCGTTCTAGCGATATCAGGAAAAGGCCACGTCGCCTGACGGCCTGACCTTAACTTGGCTGAACTCTGCTGCAGAGTGGTCACGTGTTTTGTGGGCACGTTGCCCATCGTGGGATAGGAAAAAATACCGATATGCCTGTGATTTCTGCCCCGGATTTAGTGCCGTGACTCAAGCCACGCTGCATGACCTCACACGTTATTCCGCTAGCTAGAAGCTTTAGCTTGCTTTTATGGAAGGTGCACGCGATGAAATCCGTCATTGTTCATCAGAAAAGGTGAAGTGAGACCAAACTGGATAGCTTGCAACGATATCGATGGAGCAGCGTGTCGCCCCGCTTTGCTTAACATCGATGTTGCTACAGATTCATTGCATGGTTTTCCCTGCAGATCTGACCTCGAGGTCAGCTACGCCAAAAGCCTGCAGAAGCTGTCTGCCAAACTGCTGAAGGCGTCGAAGGAGGGCCTGGGGAGCGTGAACCAGGCCTGGCAGATGGTGGGCGCCGAAATGGAGTACGAGGCCGACGTGCACAAGTAAGGTCACGTGCTGTTGTAGACCTCTTGCTGCTGTTCCTCTGCTGTCTACTGCCATGATGAACACCTTACGGAGACGCTTGGTACTTTTCCCACTGATGGTGTCTCCAGTGACCTGATTCCGTGTCCTTTCTCACAGACTTACACCCGGTGACCTGATGATTCCGTGCGACCCCATGTTACATTTCACCATTCATCTGGGGGGGGGGGGGGGGGACAAAGGCCATCGGTCCCGGCCATTGGAAATGACGCTTTTCTGGAGAATGTGGTCAGCGGGCCCCAACTGAATAAAACGTATACATTTACTCTTTACTCAGACCTGACCTGAGCCTTGGCACTCGGTTCGCGAACGGTTGACCACAAAATGCGACTAAAGCGAAATGGGTACCACACCGAGCACAAACGTGCCTCTTAATTTCCCGAGAGAAACATAAATTAGATTCCAAGTGCCATGCACCAATACGACATGGTTTTAGACACTTCATAAAGGTCACTTCGAACGTCTAGGCGCACGGCAGGGGTGAGCGTGGGACTGGTAGGGATTTCACGCTAATACCGCTAGCTGGGTCAATGGGGTATGCAAAAAGAAATTGATCAAGATCAGTTACAACAAGATCAGTCTGTTGCGAAATATCTGTCATCTCAACAGCCAGTGTCTTGCCGGCCGCCACGGCTGCTTAAGCTCGTCTGAACTCGGCAAGCCCCGTCCTGCATCCCAGCAAAGCTCCAGCTCGGCTCTTAGGTGGCTTTGCATGATCGTGTCTCCTGATCGTGTCTCCTAATCGTGTCTTCTGATCGTATCTCCTGATTTCCGCGCCAAGAGCCGCATCGGTGTGGCGTGCTGGCGGTGTTTGGTGCGCCGGCCGGGGCGTGTGCTCGTCAAACGTGGGTGTGGGCGCTCCTGCAACATAGGACGCGTGCTACGGGAGCGTGCAGGCACACCAGCAGCGGGGCGGGTATCAGGGCGGACGGACGGTCAGGGCCCGGGGCGACGCAGGCTGTTGGCCGGCTAGGTTTGTCAGTCGTTCATCAACGGTGTACGCCTTGAGTCTGGTGCGTATCAGCACCATCAAACACCGATAAACACCGATGAACACCGGTAAACATGACAACCTCGTTGAGCTGCCATTACGGCACGCAGCTCAGAAATGCACCAGCGGATAGTTGTGAAGTGGGGCAGGTCTGATCAAAGCGGTTGTTTGAACACGGATCGGGCTACACGAGCCGCACCCCTCCGCTATAGCTATGCGCTGTTGGCAGGCCGATCGGTTCGTGGTGGAAGTCAGGCCGTCCGTCTAACTGCGCTGATCCGTGGTCCTGTGTTGGAGGTGGTCCAGACGGACCTCTCTCCTGGCCAGAGCGGCCATGTCTTGGCCAGAACGGCCAAGTCTTGGCCACGACCGGGACAGTTGCGTATCATGTTGTCTTGTGGACGCCGAAAACAATGAAATAGGTGGAGGGGATGGGGCTTGAGCTGTGAGCTTGAGTGAATATCACAAGTGTTTAACATTGCACAGCAGAGGCTAATGCAGCAGAAAACATGGAACACAACATCTGCGATATTCCCGAACTGATCCAAAGAAATGGTGGGTACTACAGGAACTAAAAGGATGTTGTAATATTTGCATTAGGAATGGCCTTATTTTGGTTATGCCTTGCTGGATGCATTTGGGCAGTAAAGGGGGCTTTTGGGCCAAACAAATCGTCGGGATAAAAGCAGGACCCTTTTTGCAATGCAGAGGGGCCTCTTTTGTTGAAAAGGGCCCTCTGTGACCGCCTTTGGCCCCGTTCTGGGCGGCATCGTGGCTACGCCACCCACTGGATGCGAGTGTTAACAAAAAGAGATTAAGAGCGATATCGAACGAGGTCCACTTGTTGGCTGCTTCGGCGTGATCATTGTGATCAGCGCGTTCTGGCCGCCCCGTGGGCCGTCTGCGCATGTCTGGGCTTCGCGGGCCCCGTGGGCCGTCTGCGCATGTCTGGGCTTCGCGGGCGCTGTGCCTGGCCATACGGACAGCGGTCGGATGCAGCCGATGACGTCAGCGGTCCCGGTCGGCCAAAGCCTGCGCACCAGGCTGGCATCACTGTCGCCACCAGAGGGGGGGGGGGGCAGACTGCCATTCATCACGACTGCAGAGCCGACACACTGCCGGCTGCCGTTAGATGGACGCTGTCGGCCTCTGGCCCTCCCGATTCCGGGCGGGGGCCCAGCCAGCCGGACCGGGCCGCGGGCGCGTGAAGACGCCAGGGGCACGTGGCAGCCGCTAGTGTTTAACAGCGCGCAATCCTTTCCCTGATCTCTGACGGACCGAGCGGTGTCGAGGCATTCTGTACGTGAGGTGAAGCCGGGCCCGGATGTAAGTCCGCCCCGTGGACAGCTGATCACGCCTGTCTGTGCCGAGTATGGCGTGCTCAAGCTCAGCTCGTTACCCGGAAAACAGCTACCAAATATGACCGTTGGTGATGTTTAAGAAAGCTGGCCTGTCGGCTGGAGTGCTCAGGGAGCAGGGCAGGGATAGCGTTGTGAGACGATGCGTCGTCTCTGCTGTCGCAGATTACCTCCTCAGTTCGGGCGCCCCGCGACCAAATCGGTCGCCCCGCGACCAAACTGAGGATGGCTGAGGAAATGGAAAAACGCGTGTGGAAAGGCTCGTGGTCTCAGGCCTGTGTGAAGAAAGAATCGCAAGGTCCGAGCTAAGCTAGATCCTTATCCAGCCACCTTATCGTTATCTTTATCCAGTGAAGTAAGACAGGGGTCGCCGGGCAAAAATTCGTAGTGATTGTCATGCATATCACATCCATGCCCCGAAACACTGCAGCCGCGCTTCTGCGTAATCCTGCACTTATATGCCATGTACTCATTAAGTGAGCATTTGGGTGCTTGGGAGCACTAGTAAGCACTCGAGTGAAGTGCTCATCAAACTGGTATCTCTCGATACAATCCAACTTAACGCTCGCTCTCCCTATGGGCCGTTATGTGGACGCATTACAACGCATGACGGCTCATGCCGAACGCCGGCGTTACTTAGCCACCCCTATCGACGTCTCCCCTCTGCCTGGCATCACCTCCCGCACCGTCTGGCGCAGGACAATGGCGGTGACGTTCACTGAGGAGCTGGTTAAGCCGCTGAAGGGCTTGATCGACACGCAGCATAAAGTGCGCAAGTCGGTGGAAGGCATGGTGGACAAGACAGCCAAGAACCTGGCCGAGTGGCGCTCGGCGGAAGCGAAGGCCAAGAAGATGTCGTACCAGTGCGCCCGGGAGAACGAGAAGGCGGAGGAGCTGGCGCTGGATGTGCGACTGGGCCGCGGCAAACAGCTCACCGAGAAGGAGACCAATAAAGTAAGCAGCATGCTGGGCTGAGACGGACAGGAAGCTTACTGTGGGACACCACTGTCGTATGGAGGTGCGGGGCTCATCCCTGTGCCCTGAGTATGGCAACTGGGTAAACAACGGGCCCCCCAACACCACCCGATATTTATTTGAACCGGCGCGCACGGCTCCGCCATCAGCTCATATCTTAACACCAATAGCTTGGCTCGGTGCGCCTCTGCGCCACCAGTGACGAGGTCTTCTCCCGCAGGTGCAGTCCCGGAGACAGAAGACGGGCAACGCCATGAGCAAGGCCGACTCCGACTACTACACATTCTGCCTACGAGGCGAGCGGGCGCGGTAAGAACGGCGCTGCAGGCACGCCACGGATCTGCTACACGGAAATCGCCCACTTTGCGATGCCTTTTTAGATTTAAGTTTTAGTTGTTGGTAAACTCGCATTTTCAGGCGCTCTACCGCGCCTGAACATCTTGATAGGTCTCCTCCTCTTCTTAAAAATCTCTTGATCTTAAATGTTCGTTGAAGTGAGGTTATTGCCTGTTGGTTTTGCCAGTTCTGCTCCCCTCCAGATCGTGCCTGTTCGTCCGAGGTTAAGCCCACCAGTCCAGCCGCATTGGCCGCACTTGACCGAGTATGACCTCGCACTTGACCTCGTATGACCTGGCACCCAAACCACGAGCGAGCCGGCCACCGTTAACCGCTGTACTTCTTGCCACGCCCGCCTGCCGACTGCAGCCGGACACGCTGGGTGGTCAGCTGTTATTGGACAGCGTGATTTGGCGTGGTGCTGACTGTGCGTTGGACGCCATGTGAGCAGACCACGGCGGCTGGCCGGTGTGGTGCTGACTGTGTGTTGGGCGCCATGTGAGCAGACCACGGCGGCTGGCCGGTGTGACTGACAGCCAAGTTTGACCGACAGCGGTCTGACCAGCCGACGTGACGTCGCCCTGACGCGCCCCGCGCACATCCTCCGGCAGGCTGGAGTGGGAGACGGCCGTCAACAAGGGCAGCCAGTGTTTTCAGGCGCTGGAGGAAGAGCGGCTGGTGCGGCTACGCTCCGCCCTGCACGCCTATCACCAGAACATGCGCTCACTCGGGCCCAAGATGATGCAGGTACGGATTTCCCCCACGTAATGCCACTTTGCCAGCAAGGGCACGGCGCAGCAACTGCGCAGGGTTGCCGCTTAATGAGTAGGCGTAAGGCGAAATACGTAATGAATGTGTGTTATGGTGTTAGAATAGCACCTAACACTACCCGGACGATTTTTTATCACGACCTACTACAAAACTCGGAGCGGCGGATGTGCCTTGCGGATCACTAATGTTCTTTTGCATCCATAGACCCAACCATGATTTCATAGGCCATTGCCGCGCATGAATCGTATCTGCAAGGAGCCACACTTAAACAAGATGCTCACCAACGGTCTGAAAGGCACCCCAATGACCGTCATCTGGCAGGTCGTCGGTCGTTTGCCTGTCAGCTGGGCAGTTGGGCGCCGCACCATTGTTTACGCCGCGCCCGCTGGAGTGTGTGAGCGGCAGTTACCGCCGGAGTGGGCCAGCGGCCCGGCCGAGCGGAGCCGTGTTTACACGGACGCGCAGCGCCGAGACGCCGGCCTGTCGTGCGCCAGGCGGCGGCAGATGTCGGCCGGCCGGCCACCGGAGCACGCAGAGGGCGCGGCCGCCGAGCCGAGCCGAGCTGGTGACGTCAGAGGGCGGCTGTCTCTGAGCTGAGCTGCACGGTCCAGCGCTAGCTCTCAATGATCGCTCCTGGCGGTGCGGGTGGTGTGTTAGCTCACATTTTGGGTGATGGTGACAAGCTGTGTATTGGATCAAGTAGCTTGTCGGTCTCATCCGCCCTTCTTTCCTCGGGTACCTCTCGACACAGAATGCCTGAGCCAAGTCTAGCCGATCCTCGCTTGTCCGTGGCGAGTTGCATGCATCAGCCCCGAGCGGGCCGGCGGCGCCCGCTGGCGAGGGACCCAACCGAACGCCCGCACAAACCGGCTGGCGGAAGCCCCTACCAAGCGCCCGCACAAACCCCCTGGCGGGAGGCCCTACCGAGCGCCCGCACAAACCCCCTGGCAAGAGGCCCTACCGAGCGCCGGCACAAACCCCTGGCGGGAGGCCCTACCGAACGCCCGCACAAACCCCCTGGCCGGAGGCCCTACCGAGCGCCCGCACAAACCCCTGGCGGGAGGCCCTACCGAGCGCCCGCTCAAACCCCGCAAAGGGTGCCCATGCACGGTAACTTTTGTAATCTCATTAGCTGCCCGCGTGATTCGACCACACTTTTATCTATCGGATACTTCATCTAACACTGTTATCCAGTGTTAGCGGAATAGGGTTTCTGAAAGGCAGAGATGACGTTTGGGGAAAGTAGTGATGAAGATGAAAATGGGATTTTCAATTATCAAATTCCATACAAAATGCTGCATGTTCAGAGGCTGCATTCGCTTCACTACACGAATGTCCTGAGGTAAGCATATCCCATCACTCGGGAGTGCGCATTCCCGAGTGGCACAGCGGAGAGCCCGCCATGTCTCATGTGTAGTCTTACAGATGATCTGAAGCACTTCTGTTGCGAGTGCGCAAGCATAAAACTGATATGGGGCTCTGACTTGATGTGGATGAAGGATCTCTAAAGTGCCGGACAATTTCAGCCTACTTTGAACAGTTTTGCTTAGGTGCATCAATGCTCCACTTCTTGTTTACCGTATTCTTTTTGGAAGTTGTCAAGGAAGTGATAAAGACATGCACTATCAAACAGAACGTGCTATTGCGAAGGACACTGTCAAAGTGGATAAAGTCGATAAAAGTAGGAAGTTATGATGGATACAGATGTAACATTAAGGCTGTAGAAGGCGTGCCAACATGTCAGGTTGCCTCCGGGCGTGCGCATTACGAGTGCGCGCACGGTTTACAGGCATGAAATCAAAACAAACAGCAGTATAGGGCTGGGGCAATGGGGATGAACAGAAGCACGTGACAAATAGAACTAGACTGTGTAGATGATGCACATGGCCCAGCCCATCATTCTTCAAACTCATGTATCCTATCATCCTGAAGCGGTCATTACTGACCGAAAGTGCTCTGACCCAAATCGAAATACAACATGCTGGCCTCGTGGCGAAACTAGATTGAAGGAACTCGCGCGCAAACCTTAAAATGAGTATATCATGCACTTTTCCGATCCTACGCCTGGGTACCAGACCCTTCTTTTGGCAGCTGTTTTTCATCATACACCATATTTTTCAACATGTGCTGATAATGTAGTAAAACTACAGCACTTGTGTACATTATTTACGTTCAGAATGATTCATACTGCAATATCATCCCATGACCTAAATGGACTTGTGGAACTTGTGAGACTTCAAGACATCTTCTCATAATCATGCGGTTTTGACTCAAAGAGAGTGTTTCACATTGGTGAATGGTTTTGGACCGAAAAAGCTGTCTTGAAATTATTTGGTTCAGCTCACACCCCTTAACTTCTTAGGACCCGAACCTCTCTAGTTTCTGAGCTACACGCTCGCGAAGATGTACAGACTATTTCGGATAGACTATTTCAAGGTCACCAGGCGTATATGACGCCATAATAAGGTCTTTTAAATCCAGCCATTCCATTAGCCATGCGGTGATAAAATGCCCCAAAAATATTGTGGAATTGTTCATAGCTGGCGTTCGTAAGCACAATTTACAAATATAACGGCCGTCAATTGGCCCTCAATCAATGTTTTGCAAGCTACGACGACCTAACCCAACAATGACGCTTTGAGGCGCATATGTACTCAACAGAGTAATTGTGGTGTCTGTAGAAGTCTTGTCCATGTAAAGGTATACCAATAATTATAAGTAAGCTTATTTCATCATATCTGATACTTGTTTCAATATATTTTGATGTGAAACATTCCGTTAAAAGACTCAATCAAGCGAAGAAATCAAATCAAGTTTACTTCCCAGATACACCCGGTAAGGCGCCAGTTAGCGCCGTAACATTTGCTGAGATCTCCAGGATGACATTACTGGGATGCAATGATCGGCGCGTCATGTGACCCCAGAGCCGTGCCGTCCTTGCCCGGTGTCTGCGACGGTGGCGTGCTGTGCTGTCCGCCAGAGCGCCGACCGTCTCTCAGAGCCACTGGCCTGCGCCGACGTCACGCGGGACGTCCAGACGGTCATCAACGTCAAAGGCTCCGGTCACAACATCCCCGAACAGCTGCTGCCCGACTTCTACGCCGAGGACATGACGAACGTGATGAACCGCGAGCGACGGAAGAAGGTAGGGCAGCGGGCGATCTGAGCAATGGGAGGACGGGAGGGCAATGGTGTGTCTACACCGAGGACGGTAGCCCTGCGGGGACGGGAGGATACTGGTATGTCTACACCGAGGCCGGCAGCCCTGGGGGGGGGGGGGGGGGGAGTATGGGAAGGTACGGGTATATCCACAAGGGAGACGGGAGCGCTGTGGGACGGGAGGTTACCGGTGTGTCTGAACCGAGGACGGCAGTACAGTTGGGATGGGAGGGTTCGGGCGTGTCTAACGTGGGACGGCAACACTAGTTGGACGGGAGGGAGGAACGGGGCGGGCGGGGTGGTGTGCAACAGCAAACGCTTCTCTGATAGTTGGTCACAATGGTTGGGAAACATTCACTGACAAGCCTGTCACTGGTGCGACGCGTGGTGAAAATGGTATTGCGATCCTGAGAATGCCGATGACTTGGACCACAATGTGTGTTGCCGGTATTACTATGCTTTGTATTTATGTTTATTTATCTTTTTATGTTTATGTATGCTTATGATTTGGGTTACTACCGAGTTAATTCGGCCCTCTCATGCAAACGCTGCAAACGGTGGGATAAACGTGACACAAAATAACTGCACGCGGCCATGTTTAACGGCGATGTGTTGCTTTGCAGGCTCTGGAGCAGTTCCTCCATCTCATCCGCCAAGGTGTGGAACGGGAAAGGAGAGGAAAGCATGGGGTCGAGAACCTCGCCAAGGCGATCCAAGAGACGCCTCACTTCGGTAGCGAAGGTTCCAAGAAGGACGTCCACGAAAAACTGCAGCACGTATGTCGCCATCGCCAACATACATCGCGACTGCATCTGCCGCTGCGGTGTGGTCGTCAGCCTCAATGGACGGTTGTCACTAGTCGTGGACAGTGTCACGAGATGCGTTTTTCGAAAGACTTCGTAGTCAAAAGACGGAAAAAACGGAAAAAGGCGGAAAAGACGTCGTAGAAAGACGTCGTAGTCATTCGTTAGAACCCAAGCTGGACGCGTGCAGAAGTAGTCCTCTTTGTATTCGTTTGAAGCTGCCATTCTCACGCCAACGTGCTATGACCCGGATTCGTGGGCACCACTGGCATCTGGTTGTGAGCATGCCAAAATCAGAGAAGATTCCCAGCACACCTACGAGCCATTGTGAGCTATACGGAGCTGGGTCGGTGTCGAACCCCCACTGTGAGCCTTGCAGACTGGCCTGTGTTGGGTCAATGATCTGTGTCGAGCCCTGCTTCTCCGATGCCGGCAGATGCGCGCGCTGCTGGCTTACCTGGAGGCCAGTCGGTACAAGATCCAGGTGGCACTGGCGGAGCTGGAGGGCCAGCCGCGACCCCAGCACCCCCTCCGCAAACACATCGAGTATCACAAGGACCGCCAGGGCATGACGCAGAGCATACTAAAGGTACACGCACCATTCCACGGAGCACAAAGATGTGCCGGAGAGACAGCGGCTACTGAGCAGCGTGCTTCCACACCTACCGGCCACCATACTGCTGGCCACACACAGCTGACTCGGATGTAGGCGGTCACGAACGTGATATTTTAAAAATCGTTTATGGTGCTCATATCTTGGTCCAGCCTAACACCCCGTTTTGTTGGCTTTGCTGTCGCCTCATCATACACCGGCCTTGGTGGTGACCTGTTCTCGCCGGCCAGCTGGTGGCCTTGGTCATGACCTCCGGAGTACCCTCTCTGCCACGCCGGGCGCCGGCCTGGGTCATGACCCTCCGCGTTCCATCTCTCCGCCAGGTACCGGGCTGGGTGGCGCTGGACCCTCTGGACCTGTCGCCGGATATTTCGCCCACGTGGGCCGCGGACCGGGGGAAGGCGGACGGCACCTCCCACCAGCCGGACTCTGACTTCGGTATGAGTGCAGTGACATCGGGCCTCGCTGGGCCCCCAGCACACGGCCAACCATTGCAAAGGGGAAACGGGCTCTTGAATGACAAGGTTCTCACATGTCAGGTGGCGCTGATATCAGGAATTTCAGTTGCCCTGGGTACTATAGCACATCCTTTTCAAAATTCACCGCTGTAATCAAATGATAAGGCTGTAAGATTTTCTTGTTAAGCATTCCGAAGCTTTTGGGGGGGGGGGGGGGGAGGGAGACGAAACGGGAAACCAGCGGAAATATTTCCCCAAAGTGCAGAATACTCCGAAAAAGCCTACATTGCCATGTTTGAAACCATTTTTGTATGCCCTCATTCATTTGTCGTCTTGACGGGCGCCGCCTGAACCCAGTCCACCGTGACGAGCGCCGCCTGACCCCAGTCCACTGTGACGAGCGCCGCCTGACCCCAGTCCACTGTGACGAGCGCCGCCTGACCCCAGTCCACTGTGAGGAGCGCCGCCCGACCCCAGCCCACTGTGACGAGCGCCGCCCGACCCCAGCCCACTGTGACGAGCGCCGTCTGACCCCAGTCCACTGTAACGAGCGCCGCCTGACCCCAGTCCACTGTGACAATCGCCGCCTGACCCCAGTCCACTGTGACAATCGCCGCCTGATCCCAGTCCACTGTGACGAGCTCCACCTGACCCCAATCCACCGTGACGAGTGCCGCTCGACCCCAGCCCGCTGTGACGAGCGCCGCCTGACCCCAGTCCACTGTGACAATCGCCGCCTGACCCCAGCCCACTGTGACGAGCGCCGCCTGACCCCAGTCCACTGTGACGAGCGCCGCCTGACCCCAGTCCACCGTGACGAGCGCCGCCTGACCCCAGTCCACTGTGACGAGCGCCGCCTGACCCCAGTCCACCGTGACGAGCGCCGCCTGACCCCAGTCCACTGTGACGAGCGCCGCCTGACCCCAGTCCACTGTGACGAGCGCCGCCTGACCCCAGCCCACTGTGACGAGCGCCGCCCAACGCCAGCCCACCGCGCTCCGCCAGATGAGTTCAGCAGCCAGGGGGACGAGCGTGAGTACCAGTGTGCGGTGTCTGGCGCGCCGGCGCCGGCTGCCGCCTCGCCGCCAGCCGACAGCGGCAGCGGCACCGGCAGTGACCAGCTCACCACGTCGCCGTCACCGGTGGACGGCCGCGCCGTGCCGTCCATTGGACGCTGCAAGGTCCTCTACGACTACACGGCCAACATGTATGACGAGCTCACCATCAAGGCCGGTAGGTGCCCGGGACGGTCGGGTGGTCGGCTGGCGCGGGACACTGTTGGAAGTTTGGGAGTTATCGGTGTGCGTCCACTGGCCTGTTGTGATGATCTGATGCGCACACTGCGCTAAAAGGTCTAAAACAAACTTGGTCATGTGCTCTGTGGTTTGATCAAGCCCTTTGATTTGTATCTGATTCCAGTCAGTTATTCTCGGGGATCTGGGGCTATATTTTGTGCCTTAGGTTTGGGAATTGAAATGGATAACGATACGCTCTGTATCTTATGGTTTTTTTATAAGTACACAACTTAGGAATGACAATTATGGACAGAGGTTAAATTAAAGACTGGCCCACTCGGTGAAAATTCACAACAGTTGTTTAGAAGTAGAATAATTCAGCATGACAATTACATATATAAGAAGTTTAGCCAAGCACGGCTGTAGTAAATGAACAGCAGCATGCACAATGCGGCTAAGTAATGCACATCAACATTTTCAAAGAACCGATTCAGTCCACGACTTGCGATTATTTTGGACTCGCCTACAATTTCTCAGGCACGATCTGAAATATGTTTCATGTCTTCACCCGGGCACGGTGTCTTCCCAGGCGACACCATCAATGTGCACGACAAGCAGGACGACGGCTGGTGGCTGGGCGAACTGAACGGCACTGTCGGCATCTTTCCCGCCACCTATGTCCTCGAGCTCACGTGATCCCGCCGCCGTCGGCATCGTCCGATCTACCACGCACCGCACGTGCGTCCTCCAGCTGGCGTTGTCCGTGGACGTGTCGTATGACGTGCTCACGTGAGCCAGCGCAGACGTGCCGCGCTGGCCACAGGACGCGAGGACGCGAGCCGCCGCGCTCGGCTGGCTGCTCCTCCGGTCAGGAGGCGGTCGTGTGATCCGGCCGGTTTGTGGCGAGCGCGCAGGGATCCCGTGTGCGTGACGAACGCGCAGCGCGCACGTGACGGCCGTAGGCCAGGGGGGCAGTGAGAGTGTACGACAGCCCATCGGTCCGCTCCTTGAAAGGGAGAGGCACCTGGTTCGTGGCGAAGTTTCATGGAGGCTTCGGAGGGCCCGTAGCATCGCTGGCACTTCGGAGGGCCCGCAGCATCGCCCGCAGCATCGCTGGCACTTCGGAGGGCCCGCAGCATCGCTGGCACTTCGGGGGGCCCGCAGCATCGCCCGCAGCATCGCTGGCACCATCTATCGTATGAACTTGGAACGTGACGTTTGTTATGTTGATGTTGCTGCGGGACGCAGACGGCCTGTTTTAAGTAGTGATATATCTGGCCCTGCGGGCTCGAGGCAACGTCTAAACCAATGCTATGCTGCACTGTTGTAATGAAACTGCCTCGACTAATCGTTTTGCTTCATCAAATGTTGCAGTGACCATATGCGTATCCTAAAATGCGTTTTGTACATGCAATACAGGTATATTTGAGAAGTTTCGAAGCCTGTGGGGGGTCTCTGACATGATTTCAGACATTTCAACAAGAGTTAAGACCATCGAACAAATGCCAACAATTATGCTGACTTTTAACACACAAGACAGAAATGCAAGCTTTTATCAACCTAAGCCTTTTCCATAAAGGCAATCAATTAAACATTTGTATTGTAGTTTGTAATTTGCGGCGGTATTTGAAGAAAATGTGTCTCACAGAGCAGAAACCAACAAACAACGACAGAGGACAATTCTGCAAATCTACACGCAAATTTATGAATCTGTGGATAATTTTGACAAATATACCTTAATGCATATCATAAAAGCCAATTATTTTCCAGTCGCGGCGCATTTGTCAACCAAATCAACTTAACCAAATCATCTAAATCAACCGAACTGTGCTTTACGGCAACTTCAGTGAATGCAGTTTTGCATTTCTCCATGTTCATGTACGTAGTTTGAGTCCTCTCTGTGATACATCACGAAGTTAATGTCGTAAACAGTTGCGATGTTATCTGACGGGAGACTTTCCAGCACAGCACCAATTGGCTCAAAAAACGTGGGTTCATCCTCGTTTGGGCCATATAAGCTAACAAAAATTAAAACATTAGAGTTCATCTTACAACCACTGATACCAACGTTTCTGTGGTGGAGACTTAACGACCGTAACACGTGACGGGTTCGCCACCAGGTTACTGCAGCGTCAGGTCTGAAATTCAGGGTGTATTTCCCAAGCAAAGACAAGGCCAGGGCCCGATATTTACATCGGTCGGGGCCCCTGAGCGTTCGATGGGCCATATAGGGACATTTCATCTAGTGCCTGATTGCAAGGTATGAAGAGCAGGCTACAGGTCACATCAAGGACGTCAATCTGCAGGGCCGGGCCCTCAAATGCCATTCGGAGAGTCTCTTGCACCGACTGGAGGGACCCTGGAACAACACGGGCCTCTATTTTGGTCAGAGGCAAACAGCAACGAACAGTCGGCTCCGTGTCGGCCTAAGCCCTGGGAGCCCATTTCACAAACAAGAACAAGGTCGTGACCTGCGATTTGCATTGGTCGGGACCTCTGAAGCAAAGGCCTCTCTGTCGGTCAAATGTCCACATTGCCTAACAGAGGGTGCCGTTTTCGCAAGGGGCCCCGAGTCGGCCAGGGTAACATTTGCTGAACATGGAAAGAGACTACCCAGAATGTTAGAGAGCCTTTTGCGTTTGTCTGGAACCTAAGACAACGCAAGTGAACATGATCATTTACGACGGGAGTCCACAATGAGACAATGGAAAGTCATGTGCCGGTCAGGGGTTCCCTTACAGAACAGGGGCCTCTCCATTCCATTCAGCCCGGGGTCCGTTATGCTGAACTGAAGTCTCATAGATGAAAAAAAAATGGGAAAAAGGCCAACACAAAGGAAAACGTCCATCCAGGGTGTCACTTTTTATGCTTCCGGAGTGCCGGAGCCACCCTCCACAGCCACCCCGCACTTAAAGGGAATGCCGCCCTGCCACCCTGCACTTTAAGGGAATGTTCCAAATTTGAAAACTGAAGCAAGCATCAGATACGGTGAAATCTGCTCAGCTATAACAATTCCTATGCTCTTAAGTGGAAAATATTGGTCTGGATGAAAACAATTTTCAATTTAGCAGACATGCTTTCTAATACGTCATTGCTTGATTGTGTCATGGAACGTTTGTATGACGTTAAGGTGCTGCCAAACCAACCGTGCGAAATTGCCATACAATCACGTAGTACCTCAACTAGCCGGAAGATGGCGATAGCGGTGCTGGAAGTGCTTGCTGAGCCAAACATCGTTATGCGCTGGTATTTTGGGCCCTTTCTTGCGGCGTTCTTGCACATTGATCAGTGAGTGCAAGATGTTTGCTTGTATTTACATCCTCGGCTATGGCGCTATTCTTAAGTTATTCAATTATAAATTTCATTTCTATCAACGTTAACAACCATGTCCAAGTTCTTAGATTACGTAGTACAAAACGTGATACGTGTCCAAAACCTGCAGAACTTACTTATTATTCAGGGAACCAATTGATGTCTACTAGAGTTGGAAATCGTGATCACGGACGCCAGATCTGGATGACTACAAACATATTATTACTATTGGTCTTGAATGCCGCTTGTCCTGTGAGGTAGTAGGATTTGAATAACGTTTCTATCGCGTCATGCATGCCTGAATGGTCCCTTTCATGCTCTTCCAAACCCCCCACCCCCAATGCATATGGGCGAAAAATAAAACACTGGGCCAGCGAAAACTACCTTTTGTCTGAACTGCTGGTACATGACATACTAAACGCATTACTGTTTATACCAATATTTTCATGTATCCTCATTATCAATGTCAAATAAATTTTAAAAGGGAAGTAATTCTCAACATCAAGACAGTTTCGGGACCGACGAAATCTTCGTTTTCGTAAGCTCAATTTTGACATCACGGACACAAATCAAAGCAGTCGAAACCCAGGGAGGATCGGGATTTGAGGGTAGGTCGGTTCTACTTTATTGGCTCAGCCCCTCTCCTCCGACCCATCTTAGAAGGTTACACCCCTACGTGCAGCCTTGATGCGGAACAACTTGTGAAACAAATTGCATGAATAACTTTGGACCTGCGTACTTGCAGTCTTGCAAGCAACATCACGGATGGCCGCGGTTGCAGCTTCCATCAAACCGAGCGGCGCTGGAGGGCCACACCGGGCGGCGGGCTTCTGAACAAGCGCCGTGAAATAATGCCTCCGCAAGTCTTTCAAAACGGGTTCGTACCGTTGAAAAGAAGACTTGGGAGTACCTTTCACAAGTAAAATATTGAGGATGTCTTCTAAACAATTAAAGGCATTGCCAGCACGGAAAGACGGATTTTATGTGTCCTTGTCTAGTTCCATCGCCAAATTCCGTCAGCGATCACAGTGTTGAGTGCTAATCCGTTCCTACCATAAATATGCAATCACCCTGGTGAAACATGCTGCCGGACTTTCTTCTTACCGCACGAATTGACATCTGGAAGCGTTCAAAGGTACCTCCTTCAGAAACGTGGCCGTTTTCGTCCGCTCACCAGTCACCGCCCAACCAATATCTGCAAGAGAGCCAACGACGCACAGCCCACGGAGACTCAGCCAGCACAGCCCAGCTCACCAGTCACCGCCCAACCAATATCTACAAAAGAGCCAACGACGCACAGCCCACGGAGACTCAGCCAGTACAGCCCAGCTCACCAGTCACCGCCCAACCAATATCTACAAAAGAGCCAACGACGCACAGCCCACGGAGACTCAGCCAGCACAGCCCAGCTCACCAGTCACCGCCCAACCAATATCTACAAAAGAGCCAACGACGCACAGCCCACGGAGACTCAGCCAGTACAGCCCAGCTCACCAGTCACCGCCCAACCAATATCTACAAAAGAGCCAACGACGCACAGCCCACGGAGACTCAGCCAGCACAGCCCAGCTCACCAGTCACCGCCCAACCAATGTCTACAAAAGAGCCAACGACGCACAGCCCACGGAGACTCAGCCAGCACAGCCCAGCTCACCAGTCACCGCCCAACCAATATCTACAAGAGCCAACGACGCACAGCCCACGGAGACTCAGCCAGCACAGCCCAGCCCACCAGTCACCGCCCAACCAATGTCTACAAAAGAGCCAACTTGTTCCAAGCTTGAGAGCTCTCGTGGTCAACGCTATGCTATGTAATTCTTACACGTCTCGGTTCTGAACAAAGTTCGAACCTTTCCAGACCAACATGATCACTGAGGAGGCAGCTCATCTAGCAACGCTTTTACAAGCAGCCTGTCTGACGCGCGACATTGCCATGGCCGTCTTATTTGCCACATGTTCGAACTGAGGCGGGTTAGAGTTGCTTTCCCCTTCCTGAAACAACAGACTGTAAACAGCGTATCTCTAAATTACAGCGGCCTAGCCATGCGTGTTTCACGAAGTAAGCGGGGAAAGGTATTTTGAGGAAGAGGGTATTCGCCTAAGCGTTTGGGGGAAGGTTGTAAAACATTTCCTGAAATGATGCGTGGATCAGTGGTTATGTTTTGCTTTACACTAACTGAAATGCGCATGGTTTATCAGTTAAGTTTGTGGGATATCGAGAAGCTTCCTGCAAACGAGATGCAATGCCAGCTTTATCATGGACACTACTCTTGTGAATACATAAACATATACTCGATTGTACTCGGCACCACACGGCGTCGGTCGTACTCAGTACCACAGGCATCATCCGCACTCGGCACCACAGACATCGTCCATATTCGGCACCACAGGCATCGTTCGTACCCGGCACCACAGGTATCGGCCGTACTCGGCACCACGGGCATCGTCCGTACACGGCACCACAGGTATCGTCCATATTCGGCCCCACAGGCATCGGCCGTACTCGGCACCACAGGTATCGGCCGTACCCGGCCCCACAGGTATCGTCCATATTCGGCACGACAGGCATCGCCGTACTCGGCACGACAGGCATCGTCCGTACTCGGCACCACAGGTATCGGTCGTACTAGGCTCCACAGACATCGTCCGTACCCGGCACCACACGGCGTCGGTCGTACTCGGCAACACACGGCGGCGGCTGTACTCGGAACAACAGGCATCGGCCGTACTCGGCACCACAGGTATCGGCCGTACTAGGCTCCACAGGTATCGTCCATATTCGGCACCAAAGGCATCGCCGTACTCGGCACCACAGGCATCGTCCGTACTCGGCACCACAGGTATCGGCCGTACTAGGCTCCACAGACATCGTCCGTACCCGGCACCACACGGTGGCGGCCGTACTCGGCACCACAGGCATCGGCCGTGCTCGGCTTTACAGGCATCAGCCGTGCTCGCCACCGCCCCCAGTTTCAGATCCAGCATCGGCCCTGACGGCCACCGCCGTCCCGCCAGCCGAACCGTCACACATGGCCAAACCGCTGTCACGATCACCACGTGAGACCAGCACCACACACGGCGCATTTGGTGTCCGTCTCGTCAGCCGTATCCAGCGTGAGGCCGCGCCCGCCTTACGTGACGACGGCCGGCTGCGGCTGGCCGGCCGGGCCGGCGGAGCGGGCCGCCGCCCGCCTCTGACGCCGCGCCGCCTGCTGGCGCACCACCAGGCGGAAGCGGGCACGAATCTGCGCGATGCAGGCGCCCAGGTCGCCGCCCGCTGCCAGCGCCTCCTGCAGGTCTGTCAGGTCGCCGATCGACGGCTTGGTCTTCATCACTGCAACGACCGCCCGTGGTCAAACACTGCAGCCAGGTGGGAGAAAGCCACCAGCCAAGGGTCACGAGTCGCGAGTCGGAAGAACCCCGATAAGGATTCAGCAGATCCACGGGGCACGAGGGTCCCGAGCCACGACTCGGAGGAGCTACGGCCCACACACAGGCTGCCCACTTAAAGGCGGTGAGTCGCATCGTCCACCACGAGCATATAAGTTAATGAATCTTCTAGTAACCCCTCATACATGCAAAACATCACAACTGAACTGTAAACAGCTTGACTTATTCTTTCCTTTACTATGATAACACCATTGCTAACACATTAAAAAAATATTCACACACTCAAGCCGAAACCAAAACGCGTTCATGTGCACGCCAAGACGACCCCATCTCGCTGGCCGTGGCGGCAGGGGGACCCGGGCCCTCCTTCCACTCACGCTTCAGCTGGTGGTCGTCAGATGAGTACTGAATGTGGAACGGCCTCTCCGGGTCGGCGTCGTCGACACGGGTGAGCGTGATGACGCGCACCGCTACGCCCTCAGTGGAGGAGCTGGACTTGCGTACCTGACCGGTTAAAAGGGCGGTGGGCGTCCGCCCGCACTGTAGAGGGACTGGCCAGGCACGACCGGGCCGCCCGACAGACGCACATGTACGGACACCGGAGAGTGCAATATACACCGACGCAGCCCACTGTAGGCGACCTGACGAGACACCAGATAGAGCCCCGGGAAAACAGCAGACATCGTGACAGGCAACCATACAGTGCCGTAATATTTCCAGTACCCTGCGAAGAATGATCTGCGTGTAACCTTTAGTCCTAACACGTAAAAGTCTGGGCAAAATGATCCGCGGCAACGGCGAACGTCTGCACCGAGTCCACCGACTGTGGGAAATACGCCCAATGCAGAGTCCTCGCAGAGGGGATGTGTTGCAGCGTTTACCCACCTCAATGCCCATATAAGTCCTGAGCATGGTGGCGGCCTTGCGGTAATTCGTCGTCTTCTTCTCCAGCTCCAGAAGCGCAGAGGACAATGCTGTCCAGCAAACGGAAAGTTGGCTCAACAGTCATTACAACTCTGCTACACTAGCAAAGAGCTTAAGCACACATCCAGACTTACTGGAATATGACAAAACCCGTATCTATGATGGAGCTGTATGAGCACACACAACACGCTTCCCCAGGATGCTGCATCGCGTCCCAACTCACTGCATGCTAGGACAGCCTTCGACCGTACAGCTCTGATGCGATGAGCGTCCATCCACGCTGCTAAGATGCCGTCGGGGCCCACTGACACCCTCCTCCCCGCGCCCAGAGAGATCGAGGCCCGCTCACACCCCCCTCCCCGCGCCCGGAGACGTCGGGCGTGTGGCTCGCGTGAGACTGCCGATCGAACCGGATGGCGGCCGTCGCCGCCGCGCGGCACGATGGCTGACCTCGCTGCATCTGGTCGAACCGGTCGGCGGCCAGGTCGCGCCGGTCCTCGGCATCGGCCAGCTCCTGTTCGGTGCGCCGCCGTTCCTTGCGCGCGCGCCGCGCCTCTGCCTCCGCCTGCACCAGGCGGCGCCGGCGCGCCTGCGCGGCCACTGTCTCGGCCACGGCCGCCTCGAGTGCCGCCTGCGACGCCTGCAGCCGCGCCTGCACGCCCTCCAGCAGCTCCACTGGGGCACGGCGCAAGGAGAGTTCAGCACAAAATCTCACGAATCTTTGACTTGGGACTTGTGAGTGGGAAGATGAAGTGTGACTGATATAACTGCATATGGTGGGTACACCCTGTACACTTCAGAATGCACCATTACTTGTGTTGGCATGCATCTTGCTACATCATCTTGTGCTAAATAAATCTATGAATTTGGTGATGACATGTGCACCCTGTAAGTGCTGCCATGAGACAGGACAAGGAGCAGTCCCCATCACAGGAAGACCTGGAGCTGGAACATGTGAAGGTAGTAGCAAGGCAGGACATCTATGGAGGCAGGTTAGGTAGCCAATGAGGTGTTGAGTAACCATACAAATAGGACATCCAAATGTGACTATATTGAATCCCATAAGTGAGACAAACTTATTGTATGCCATGTGCTATCAAACAAGTGTACTTGTGATGCCTGAAGGATATCACAAAAACCCTTCCACTTTTCCTGTGTTGTGTGTTGGTTTCTCTCCATACACCGACCACAAAGGACTGTACTGTGCAGGGACTTCTTGCAAAAATTCAACACCCTTCTTGCATAATATCATATCTCTGATCCATACCACATATACCAGAAGTTGTACCTTAAAATGGTGGCCCTTCATTAGTTCAGCTTGTATGGTACATGAAAATGACTTCAACAGGACAAGGGTTCAACTCCCTGATGAGGTTTACAATTCCAGTGCCTCATTTACCTGCAAATTACTCCACAGTAAAGTCCTCCGCAAACTGAGCAAGGACACAAAATAACAGAAGCTTTATTGAGCTCCTGGTTGTAGATCCAAACCTCTCCTTCATGGTTGTATGAAAATAAGATCTCCTGGTCTCACTCCACATTATACAAATAATGGCAGACTGACATAAGCATCACCACTCAAAACTTAGCAGACTGCACCAGTGTGCAAGTGGCTCTTTTTCAGAAACAGTCACATGGTGTTGACCATATTGGAGACATGCTGCATAATACACCAATGGGGCACACAATAAGTCTGTATGTCTTGACTTTGGAAATTAAGTACTAGCACAGCAGTTATCTGAGAGGGTGGTTACCTATTTGGTTATGAAGCTAAATGTTCTAAACCCAAACAAATATTTGGCTTGCTTTCGCTTCCATGTTTCTTTTTATACAAAGCCATCCAAACAAGACACCTTGTTTTAAGCAAATAAATATTATGCTTTGCTCAGCTCCTGAACTCTCAAATGGAAATGCAAATATTAGCAATACCCAGTCTGCACAACCCATGCGCTACACTAGACAATTCATGAACATCAAAGTGCTAAACACCTTGCTCGCAGACACCAAACTCTGGCCAGGCCAACCTGTGCTTAAGTTTCAAATGATTGCTGTGTGAAAACCACTTAAGCAACTGCACATGAGAGTGACTGGGACCTCCAGCTGCTCCAGGCAGCACTTTTTCAGTTTCTGTGCAGCAAAAACCAGTAGCAGAGTGAAGCATGAAAAAATGTCACATGTTTTAAAAAATCAGACAATACATGGTGCTTTAGTAGCTACCAGGTGTGTAATCATTCATACCATTTCCCTGCCGAATCTTGGCCAGGTCATTCTTTAGCTTCAGACGATCCATCATGCCACTGAACGTTTCGGGGCAAGTATAGCTTGCAAGTTGCCCGATGTCCGTAAGAACATTAACTACGCTTGATTCCAATTGATACTTTTGAGCACAAAGAACGACCAAACTTAATTTCTGAGCATTTACCGGCAATCAAAAACAGACATGCTTGCGATGATGGTGCCTGGCTACTCCTCAACGCATTTCCCTATAAACCAATACACTACGGAACCGCGGCGCACGCCCAACACAACCAACAATGGCGCACTGAAATTCAAACCTGCTGCTAGTGAAGCGGGTGGTAACACTCTTATTCAACTTTAACTCATACAGCAAGCTATCATGACGTCATTTACAACAAGCTAAACCATTGGTCACTTTCCGTTTTCCCAGCGCATATTGGAAGGTTTTTAACTGGCGCATAGTGTGCGCCATTTCAACGCATTGTTTTTATTCCAAGTTGGCACCGTCTTGCGAAATGGTGAGATTGGCGCTGCAAGTTGCGGGTGAACCGGTTTTCGCGAATTTTAAGAACTGTGCAATTTCGTAACAGTGACTATTATCTGCAAGAGGGCGCTTTCTAGCATATGGTGATAAATTGTGCCGAAATTGTAAGCACTGTGAAGTGTGATGTGATTCTGGGCGGGAGGCGAGCTTTGCTGTGTGAGCCGTGTGTTGTGAGACGATTGGGAAGGTAATTAGTGCCCACATCAGAGTCTTGTTTAAGAGTTAAGTGGCAATTCTGGAAACATTGGAGTTGTCATTTGCTATTTTAGGCAAACACTGAGCATCATTAGGACCACCTCCATACACAGTATCTGAAATTTGGTTTAGGCTCTTGGAGGAGAAAACAAAAATATTAATTTGTGATTGTTTTTGTTAGACTGTGTTGAAACTTCTTAATTTGTTTCTGTCTAAAATGTTGTGACAAGAGCTCGTCTTGTCAGGGGCAGCTGGGGAAATGTGTACCACAACAAATTTTGGGGCAGTATGGTTCACATATTCCAGTTTGAAATTCTGACCAGTCTAGGCCCAGGACATATTCAACATCATAATTGGGGAGGCAGGTGCCTGCCCAATAACTGACCATGCCCCCTTCATTTGCGTCATTTTGCCTGTGTGTACTTGGTGGAAATGATGTTGAAATGCATGAATTATTTTAGGAAACTAGATAGCCTGTTTGCCAAATGGCATGGGTGAGCTGTTCATGTAAGGTTGTGCATTGGGATAAAACGGCTGTAAGTATACATGCTAAAGCAATTGGGGTATTTTCATGGTCTCTGAAAGGTTTTGTTATAAATTAAGAGTGGCAAAGGTCACCATTCCCCCCTCACCCTCACCCTCAGTCACTGGGTTGCCTCCCCAGTTCCCTTCATAGCCAAGTTTGCCTCCCCAGCAAAATGTGTAAAATATGATGTGAGGCCAGCCTGCCCCCTCGCCACTTAAAAAAATTCTATGCCTATGGGCTGGAGACAGTTTGTGTAGTATCTTATAGACTCCTAGTGATATGAAAGTTGTTTGGGTTACCCAAAGTCACCACATTCACTGTGGTTGACAAAACCATGTGTTACAGTTTGACTGATATAAGTTTTTGAGACATGGGATGGGTAGTTTCTGAGGACAGAAACTGTTTCAGGATGAAGCACGATGCGATGCCTGTCATGTACCAGTTGGTGATGTAAAACGCCAGCTGGTTCCGAATTCATTAATGGCACCGATCGTAGCAGCCACGTTCCGTGAAATTTTTAAAGGTCAGGGTAGGTCACTAACCCAAAATTACCCACGTCAAGGTTTCGTTTTGAGGAGCATACCGCCTAGCGAAATCCCTGACAATTATTTGAGGGGCAAAATAGGAGCGATCTGATAGATTCTGGCCATCTTGACTTTCTTAGAGTCAAACAAGGCCACTAGCCTTAAAGGACCAATCTGGATGTTTTACCACGAACGGGTATCTTGGCTCATAACGGCTGCATGAGGACGACATGAGACACGTTGGACACCAATCTGGATTTTGGCGACACAAATAAGTTCACGCACAGGCGAACCCACCCTGTGAATTTTGTTGCTTAAGTGTTCTTAGTTTTCGAGATCTCACGGGGTCAAACTACCCCCCCCCCCCCACCCCCTCCACCCCAGCGAAGGATATTTAACCGGTCGTCCGGGCGCGAGACACTCTGTGCGCTGCGTTCGGAATTCTCCGACGCGACAAATGTGCTGAAGTTTCGACGCGCGACGGACGACGAGCCGAAATTTTTGTCACGCGGACTCACACGGGGCCTTGTGTTAAGCGTTCGGTGCATTGATGCCTGCCGCTCCGGGTCCATAGGACATTATAATACACCATGTGCTTTCCCCAGTTGGGCTCAGTGGACCTCGGGACAGATCACTAACGCGTGCCATCAGTTTCTGAACGCAGTATGGATTGCCAGTCCGGATCTCTGCTGTCCATGTCCACCATGCAAACTTGCAGCTTTCAAACTGATCATCGTATTGAGCTGGGGCCTTGTAGCGCCAGGCGCCGACCGGGGAGAGTGTACAGACCGGCCCACACACAGACTGGCCTGCAATAGTTTGGCGGTGGGGTTGAGTGTCCCTCTTGGTCCGGCTTGGGGCCCACACGGACGCGGGACTTATCTTGCTCCTCTGTTTATCGGAGACGCCAAACATGCTTAATAATTGTGGTATACATTGATTGGCTTTTACTTTTTTCATTGGTTGTGAACCCGTCTTATGATCTCAACCGCAGACAAGGCGTGGCGTGACCGCCGCCCGCCGCTGCTGGTCCGTGGTTGACTAACGCCTCAACCACCGCTGCTGGTCCGTGGTTGACTAACGCCTCAACCGCCCCTGCTGGTCCGTGGTTGACTAACGCCTGGACCACCGCTGCTGGTCCGTGGTTGACTAACGCCTCAACCACCGCTGCTGGTCCGTGGTTGACTAACGCCTCGACCACCGCTGCTGGTCCGTGGTTGACTAACGCCTCACAGCTGCATCTTTATCCGCAGCGTATGATTACTTTTAGCATTTTAGAAAAACAATGACAGCGTGAATAAGATAAGTGTACACTTTTAACCATGCCTTGACCGTTTTGAAAACCATAAAAAATGAAGCACTCCTCGATGTCCGTATTGGGACATCCCCAATGAGACCTGAAACTGGAACATTTCCTTTAGGTCTGGGAAGTGACATCCACATGTTCTGCAGTGCCTCCGCTTTAACCCATGCCAACTCTTAAACCCACCCAACCAACTCTCAAACCTATTGAGTTTCAGTTGCAGGGAATATACTGACCTTTATAGAAGATCATGACCCTATTTTGTGCATCACTTTCAGTCTATCTCTTTTCATACAGTGTAAGTCTCAACGAATTTCGGGCTACATTTTATGCAAGGCGAGAGTTTTCATGGTGTACGGCCGAGCGGTCTTATGACCTGACCTGACCGGACCCGTCCTGACCTGACCTGCCTGAGGTTGGGTGCTGCGCAGCGATGTGCTGGTTGTGCATCGGATCCCGGGCTTCATGAGGCTATTTCTGTGCACCGCCCGGAGGATGATGTTCACCACCAGGGTTTCCAGTAGTGAGGGCTTTGTTGCTGACATACCGAGTAAGCAATCCTGCCATTCGACCGGACGAGCAGCGCTGTTCATGCTGAAAATGATGGTCATCCAGTTCCAGACGAATACCAATATTTTTCAGGGTCGGAATTCAAGAGCTATCCCATTGAACACTATTTGCAAGCCCAACCTGTCACAATAACAATGGCTGGTGTGGACCAGCTGAAGAAGAATGTAGATCAATATTATGACGAAATGAAATATGATCAGATTGCTGAACAGTTGGAGCCATACAAGGTAACGTGTGTAGTAACGATGATCACGCATATTCCGAATAGCGGGGTCTGTGCCAACCAGGCATGTTTTAGTGGAAGCACGAAACGACAGTGAATGTGTTGGCTTATTGGCACGTATGATTAAACAGTCAAATGTTTGATATTGCATCACATTTCCCAGGTTTCAGTTCATGCGTTGCCAACTTCTGGTATGGTGTGCGTCGTGCATTTTTGCTTGATGTTTGCTAAAATACAGACTTGTGACCCTGTGGATTAAAGTACAGGCGTGTGCTCCCTTGTGGTGAAATGTTTATACCATAAGAGCGCTCGGAAACAACCCACACCTATGACTACAACAGGTATAGTCTGTCGGCGTGGCCGTAAATCGGGATGAATTACGAGCGGCGGAGACGTAACACTATCACTACTGCTGCTGCTACTGCTGCTGCTGCTGCTGCTGGGCTCGATGGGTCCCCACCTCAGTGGCCCGTGGGTAGGGCAGGGATACCCCGCGCGACTTGTCATGCATGATAGGGGATTCCCGCTTCTTAGACCCGGGACGGCGTCCGTGTAGTTTGAAGGCCACGGCTGGACCGACGCTCGGCAGCATCGGCAGCAGGGTGACCACGGCTGGACCGACGCTCGGCGGCATCGGCAGCAGGGTGACCACGGCTGGACCGACGCTCGGCAGCATCGGCAGCAGGGTGAACTGTGACGGCGCCGTGACCGGCTCCTGCAGGGCGGCGACGACATCGGACTACTGTGGCGACTGGCGCGGGCCAACTACGAGCGCCAGAAGACGCTGGGCTCGGACGCTGCCCAGCTCCGGCTGCTGCAGGACACGCTGGCCACCGTGCAGCGAGCGCTGGCGCTGGACGCCACTGACCCCAACTGCCACAAGTGGATGGCCATCTATCTGAACGCCATCACCAAGCTGCAGGGCTCCAAGGCACAAATTGACGCAGCCACCACCATCAGGGAGCACATGCTGGTGAGCGAGACCCTAACTCTGCCCACACGCTGTCTGGGTGGGCAGGGCCCTGACAGCAGGTCACCGCCTGGTCACATTGTGGCATAATGCAGAGGAATGCATGCCAGGTACGTGAGACATATTTTAGCCACATTGCCAATACCTCATTATGTGTTTATCAAATTTTGGTATGTGTGGAACGATGACGTAAATCACGGCTTTCTAGAGCACTTTATGAATACAACCGCCTGGTGACTGACATGAGCGGTCGTGCCCCGCGCCTGTCCGTGCTGGCTGCCCCGGGTCGCCGCTGCTCGTGTCTCCGTCACCGCCTCCCCTCCCCTCCCACCATCAGCAGTGCTGTACCTGGCCGCCGCCCCTGCCTGTGTCGCCGCTCCCCTCCCACCATCAGGAGTGTGTACCTGGCCGCCGCCCCTGCACGCGCCACCATTCCACTCACACCATCTGGGGGCTGTTTCCGTCACCAGAAGGCGTGCGAGTACGGTCCGGACGACGCCACGAACTGGCACCTGATCGCCATGTGGGAGTACAGCGTGGCCGACATATCGTGGGTGATGCGCAAACTGGCCACGGTGGTGTACGGCGAGCCGCCCAGGGCCACCTTCCAGCAGGCGCTCGACAACTTCCTGAAGGCGGATCAGCTGTCGGACGGTTTCAGGTGCGAGACGGTGTAGGTGGCGCCGCTCAGGTGAGCTCCGCATCAGCGCCGGCTCTCGGGCTTAGCGTACCTGGGTGAAAGGGTTTGACTACGGGGCGTGTACCTTGCCGATGACCATTATCACGATTTTTGCTTGAAGTTTCAAGTGCATCGTCTTCAGAAGCTCAACATCCGTGTTGTGTGTTGTACCCGGATGCTAGTTGTGGAGTACTGCACCGACGCCACATGAGCAGACTACCTACTGAACTGCATCAGCTTGCAGTGATTGAACGGCATCTGCTTGCAGTGGAGCTCATCTCTTCATTGACATGGGTCGCTAGTGACGTTCTTAATGTTTTTACTGTTGTTTCAGACAGCTGAGTGCAGGGCGGGGTCTCGCCTGGCCAATCAAGAGGTACGTTTTGCTGTCCTTATTTGTTTTATCGTGATGCTCTGCCCAGTCCTATTTCTTTTTCTGCGCCGTTACCCAAGAGCAGATAGCCAGGAGCGCCCTTCCTTCTATCCAAGCGACGCATAGAACCTTACTTAACATCAGAAAACATAAAATCAAGTCGCTGCGCTCCCAGCTAGCAAGACCAAACAAAAGTAAATAAGTAGGCGAAGAGGCGGTGCAGACCCGGCAGGAATCGTGTTATGCGGTTGGCAAGGATACATCATACATGATAAGGCTTGAAGTAATCATAGCCGAAGTCAGCTAATGACAGCCCGCTAGAACCACCCAATAAACTGCTACCACTCATTCACAGTGTTTTTGCTATTGCACGTTTCAATGCAAATATTCAGTGCGCAATACAACGTTACCTCGCTCTTTTGCTCTAACACTGAATTCCCAGGAAGTGTTTTTGATTTCCTGAGCAATTTTGAAGCGATCCTGGCGCGGTTTGTATGCCATTACATTTGTTCCTCATACCATTCTGATTCAACATCGTTGTTCGTGAACTGCTTTGAAGACGCGTCTTATCTAAAACTCCGCATAAGAATGTTTAGGTCGCTCTTCCGGCGAGCCTGCGCTGGGTTGATCTTGGTCGTCTGGACGCAATGAAGTGTTTCTTTTTCAGTCGCAATCTCATGATGATCGGCAAGTGTTACCAAAAACTGAAAGACAAGGAAAACGCAATAAAGTACCTGAAGATGGTTCGAGCCCTTGAAGCGAAGACCGCGGACGATGAAGAGGTACGTGACCAAACCATGAAGGAGCTCATGGTTAGGTACGGCTTAGGTCGCTGGTGACCACTTTTTCCGTCATTTCACAACTACTGACGATCGTGACTGATCGTTCCAAACAAATCTACAACAGGGAATACGTTTGGAATTGCTACCGTGCTTGTATAGTCCAATTTTGGACATTTTCCCCAGGATTTTTTTTTTGCAGCAAATCAAAGCGGCTGAATTGAAGCACAAGTGTTTGTCGACAGAGTTTGTTGTGACTGACTTTTACCTCTTCTCATGATGATCAAGGCCCCTCCTGGTTGCAGTCGAAGGAAGAAGCCATTAGCATGTTGAAGCAGATGGGTATAACCGACTGAAGATTCGGATGCAGAGCGACGAAATCTGCAAGTGCCACAGCTTCACATGTCCGATGGCAGTAAAGCCGGAGCTGCATATCAGGATAGTAAACTGGACTGATCCGTCCAGTCCGGACAATATCATTTTGGCCGTATTCTGGTGGCGTGGGCGTGAGCGTGTGAGTGTGAGTGTGAGGAACCGTTGGACAGTGACATTAGTAATGAATACCTCGTGGGGGGCCTCATGCGGATACAACGCTTTAAGCTGTACTCTTAATCCACCGCATATTCATCGCGCTTTGGGGACGTGGGGAAATTTATGCGAGTGAAGCGCTTTAAGCTGCGCTCTTAATCCACCACATATTCATTGTGCCGTGGGGACGTGGGGAACTTTATGCGGGTGAAGCGCTTTAAGCTGCGCTCTTAATCCACCACATATTCGTTGTGCTTTGGGGACGTGGGGAACTATGCGGGTGAAACGCTTTAAGCTGCGCTCTTAATCCACTACATATTCATTGTGCTTTGGGGACGTGGGGAACTATGCGGGTGAAACGCTTTAAGCTGTACTCTATCCACTACATATTCATCGTGACTTGGGGACGTGGGGAACTATGCGGGTGAAACGCTTTAAGCTGCGCTCTTAATCCACTACATATTCATTGTGCTTTGGGGACGTGGGGAACTATGCGGGTGAAACGCTTTAAGCTGTACTCTATCCACTACATATTCATTGTGCTTTGGGGACGTGGGGAACTATGCGGGTGAAACGCTTTAAGCTGTACTCTATCCACTACATATTCATCGTGACTTGGGGACGTGGGGAGCTTCACGCCGGGCTGTTGCATCACGGACAGGATAGCGTGGAACAGGGCCGATCGCTTACACTCTTCACGTATATCGTGTGAAACCATCACTGCCTAAGTGGTACGATCCCGACTTATGCTGCAATTTTTAGATGACCCTGTTTTCGACATTTTTATAACAGACGCCCGATCAGTCATTGTTCGTAGGGTCGGAGTTGCGCTGCGTACAGCTAGCTGTTGTACACAATGGCGATGGTTGGGTTTTCTTTGAGCCGATCCATTATCAGACGAAGCGCTTCAACTGATCACCGAGCGGTCTGTGTCCAACAGTGATCATGTTATCGGTTGGTGATCGTAACTTTGTAGCTCGTTTTTGCAAGACAAGGATAGGCTTTCCAATCCACAGCGTAACCATTAGCGTGTAATCTGGGGCGTTCTGACTCGTCTGTGGCTTGGGGACTGCATTGTTTTGTTGTGTATGGTTGTGAGTAGACGTATTTTTGTGATCTCCGCATGTCTACACAAAGGCCGTTCCCGCTTTATGTCCGCAAAATTCAATACAGCTTATGAATCCCATCTAAACTTTGCTGAAGTTAACCGCACAGTCCGGGTGAAATGCAGCAGCATGCAGGAGTTTTCATTGAGCTCTACGGACAACTGTTCGAGCCGAGCGTAGCTATTTCGAGATCTGGGGTTTTGGCGGCTTTTAAACACCAGATCGATTTGGTGGTTGGGTTTCACGCAAAGGTGGTGTAACGAAACTCGTGTTTCGTCGACGGGTCGAGCATATCGCATGCAACTATCCTGATCGGTTCGGTAATCAAGGCTATCAGCGCTGTGCCGAAATAGATTGCTACTCCCGGTTCCCATGTCACCAACCAGCCAAGTTTTTTCTATCCTGATTTCTGTGTTTTTGATGTTTTTGTAGAGTGGATCGATCCGCGCATTCTGATGTTTACTTTGGTATTTTTGTGGAACGGATCGAATCGCCACCCCTCGAGGCCACGCCCCGGATCTGGGATTCCGCGATTGCCCTGGCGGTGAATTTAAGAGATTTATGGTCATTGTTATGCAACGGGCCGTTCACTGTGTCCGGGAAATAAAGTTGACAATTTGCATTTGCATGGGGTCCGTTGTCAGTTCTGCGCCGCGAGCCGGGTTTTGCCCGGACTCGAACCTGCCAATTTCCTCACCTCTATCTCTCGGACCATCGACGTGCGGACATGTGTATTGGGTGGAGCGGCGCGCCCGCCGTCTGCTACAGACTGGCGATAACCAGATAAAGGCTCGCAGCGCGCCGCTCGGTCGGCCGGACTCTGAGCGGGTGTGACGGCGGGGAGGGGCGCACCGAGGCCGTTGGTTGGTCGGCCGCACCGAGACGGGCCGCCTGATACGCCAGTGCTGACGGCCTTGACGGCGGCCGAGGCCGACGGTGCGCTCGTGTTTGGGGCGGCGACGATAACCCAAGCTGTGCTTAGCTGTAGCCGGGCGGCGGTCACGCGAAGTGGTCCCGTCGTGAGCCGATCCCGTCGTCACCGGCTGGTAGCGTTCCAAACCGCTGCCCTCCCCCTGCCATCATGTGGGACCTTGTGACGGCCGGCAAGGTGGCACTGACCCTGATAGTAGGGCTGGTGTCAGTAGTGGCGGGCCGCGCGCTCAGCTGCCGCCGGCGCCGCTACCGCTTCAGCAGCGCCGACCTGAGCGACGCCGACCTCGAGCCAGCCTCGCTGCGCGGCAGCGAGGACCGGCTGGCCCAGGGCCTGCGCATTCCCACCGTCTCAACGTCCCGGGACGACCCGCCGCCGCGTGAGCAGCTGCTTCGCTACCACCAGCACCTCCGCGACAGTAAGTGGCCCAGGGAATCACCGACACCGCGACAGTAAGTGGCACGGGTCACCACCAACACCTCGGAGACAGTAAGTGGCCTGGGGTACCACCAGCCAGAGGCGCAGCCGGAGCCTTGGCAAAGGGGGGGGGGGGCGGCACAAGGTTGACAAAGGGCCTACTGGCAGTAAGAGGCCCCCCCCATAAGAAATCGCCGGATATGACCCTTTTGCTATTGAGGACACGTTTTTCTCAGATATATGCATATATATATATATATATATATATATATATATATATATATATTACACATTTTTGTCTTTCATAGTTGGAATAGTTTTTCTGGAATATTTTCCGGAATATTTTTATTCATACCGGAATATTTTTGAACTGGAAGATTTTTCTACAGACGCTACCGCGAGATCAGTTCTGCCTAAGTTTATAGTGAATTAACTGACGAAATCATGCGTTAATGATTGCATGAAATAAATCGCTGGCGCTCTTCCTTTTACAGTGGCTCACTGGACTTTTTAAACCAACAGAACTCAGAAACTTTGTCAGCATTTTTTGTCTGGGTAGTACAGAGATAGCAAGAATTACGCGAATGTAAAGTGAAAAGCAAAATGGGTCAACAATTTGCATTAAGATGGCAAAATCATCTTGACCTGGAAATCTTTAACATTCAGTCAGAATTGACCTGACCCTCTGACCACTATTTGAGGGTCTGTCTTCGCGGGTCAGGGCCCCCGAATAAGACTCCGACCAGCCCTTTATGCGCTTAGACTCTCCAATCACGCCCTTGATCGTCGAACTCGGTGGGCCCTACAGGCTCTTCGGATCTCCACGGACACCGCCTCTGTCCGACTCAGGGCCCCTTGACATCACGGGGCCCCTTAGGCGCTGTGGAGCGCCGAGCCATGTAAATAGCTGGTTCCGGCTTTGCCCCTGCTTGAGAAATGGGCCCTTAGGCCCATGCGGCCCCCGAGCCGACTGTGCGTTACTGGTGGCGTCTGGCCGAAATATAGGTCCTTATCGCCTCAGTGGGCCCCTGATCAGCGCGCAGGGCCCTCTGACTGGCATTGAAGTGCCCAGCCCTGAGGGCCGGGACCTGTAAATGAGACCTTCAGCTGTCTTCTGGCCCTTAATCGTAGGTTCCCAGGGCCCTTTGAGTTCCTTTGGGTTTTGGGAACCTGAGAGGAGGGGGGGGGGGGGGGGGGGCACACGTCTCCTGTGCCCCCTCTGCCTACGCTACTGCCACCAGCACCTCGAGGGCAGCAAGTGGCCGGGGTACCACCAGCACCTCGGAGACAGTAAGCGGCCTGGAGGACTACCAGCATCTCGAGGTCAAAAAGCGGTTGAAGTACCACCAGCACCTCGGGGACGGTAAGCGGCCCGGGGTACCACCAGCACCTCGGGGGCAGTAAGCGGTCCGGAGTACTACCAGCACCTCAAGGGCAGTTGGTGACCCGGGATACTACCAACACCTCGTGGTGAGTAAGTGGTCTGTTGTACCATCAGCACGGCTGAGTCGTGTGCGGAGCCTCTGCCGGCGCGTCAGCACCCGGTTGGGTGCGGCGGGGCATAGGGACTCAACGGAACATTGGGGCTCAACGCGGGTTCAAATATTGCAGTTATTATTGAATGTCTCAAAGCAGGATGAAATGTTTTTCTTTTTCATACCGGTGCTGGATTTAAACTCCGCCCGTAAACTTTCTTTAATGATGCATCGGCATACATCCGTTTGGTTGGTCCGCTTCAAGCAATGCCTCTGCCGAGCTTCCGCCGTTTGAGCGGGCCGTTCCCCTGTGACAGACTGACGACTCCACCACAGGCTTTCCGACGGTGTTCAGCTCGCACGCGGTGACGGTCGAGGTGGTAAACGAGCTGAGCCTGCTGCTGACGGTGGCCGGCAGCGAGCCCCAGCTGTCGCCCTACCTCCTGCTCTCGCACATGGACGTGGTGCCGGTCGTCGAAGAGCACTGGAGCTGGCCGCCGTTCGACGGCCTCGTCCAGGACGGCTACATCATCGGCCGCGGCGCTATCGACGTCAAGCAGACGACGCACGCCATCCTGGAGAGCCTGGAGCGGCGGCTGCTGGCCGGCGACCTGCCGCGCCGCCCGCTGATCGTGGCGCTCGGGCACGACGAGGAGGTGTCGGGGCGGGAGGGCGCCGCGCGAATTGGCCACCTGTTGGAGCAGCGCGGCGCGCGCCCGCTCTTCGTGCTCGACGAGGGCATCACGCTGATGCAGGGCTTCTTTCCGGGAGTGCGCCAGCCACTGGCCGTGGTCGGCGTGAGCGAGAAGGGCTACCTGGCGCTGGAGGTGACGGCGCGCGGCCAGGCCGGCCACTCGAGTATCCCGCCGGTTCCAACGGCTGTCGGCCGGCTGGCGCGCGCCGTCAACCGGCTGCACGCCGACCCGCAGCCGGTGCTGTTCGGGCGCGGGCCCGAGATGGAGCTGCTGCGCGTCATGGGGCCCGTGGCGTCGCCGCCGTTCCGGCTCGTCTACGCCAATCTGTGGCTGTTTGGCGCCGTGCTGAAGCGCGCCTTCCTGAAGAACCCAGCCTTGCGCGCCAGCGTGCAGACCACCACCGCCGTCACCGTGCTCAAGGGTGGGTACAAGGAGAACGTGGTGCCGGCGCACGCCAGCGCTATCATAAACCACCGCATCTCGCCGCTGCAGGACCGCGACGACGTGATGGCGTGCGACCGCAATGCCATCTCAGACCCGGAGATGGAGTTTGAAGTTCTGCACCACTCGCCGGCGTCGCCCATCTCGCCGTACGGGGAGGATGACGCGCCGTTCGGCCTGCTAGCCGGCACTGTGCGGCAGCTTTACGGCGATGATGTTCTGACGGCGCCGGCCGTCATGGTGGCCAACACGGACACGCGCCACTACCTCCACCTCACCGACAACGTGTACCGTTTCAACCCCATCGTGCTGCGGCCGGATCAGCTCGGCATGTTCCACGGCAACGACGAGAGGATCTCCGTTGAGAACTACCACAACTGCATCCGATTCTATTATAGGCTGATGAAGAATATGGAGAGCGATGCCGTGGTAGCTCAAATGCCTTAGATCACGGTGATGGACACGCCCGCACAGTGAAGGGGGCCGCAGGATCCAGGGGACGAGATAGACCTCGAAATGTACGCGCGAGTCTGGCTCAGCAGGTGGGGCGGCGGGGTACCGGTCTGGCTCGGCAGGTCGGGCGGCAGGGTACCGGCCTGGCTCGACAGGTCGGGCGGCAGGGTACCGGTCTGGCTCGGCAGGTCGGGCGGCAGGGTGCCGGCCTGGCTCGGCAGGTCGGGCGGCAGGGTACCGGCCTGGCTCGACAGGTCGGGCGGCAGGGTACCGGCCTGGCTCGACAGGTCGGGCGGCAGGGTACCGGTCTGGCTCGGCAGGTCGGGCGGTAGGGTACCGGTCTGGCTCGACAGGTCGGGCGGCAGGGTACCGGCCTGGCTCGGCAGGTCGGGCGGTAGGGTACCGGTCTGGCCAGCGGTCAGTGCCCGGTCAGGGCATCGTCTGCAGCCACCGGTATGGTCTGCAGGGCACGCTGATCAAGACCGGCAGCTGACTATTTGGTACTGGTATTTGACATTGAGTCCATAGCAGTATCTGATCAGTAACCCTATTCACCTGATGTGTTGAATCAGTAACACGGTGTAAAGACCATGTGGTGTGACACTTATCGATCGGCACTAAGTCTGTGCCGCTGGAGTTATATTGGGGACATCATGCTTAAATGCGTTAACCATTTGAGTGTGCTGCAGTGTGGACTGACGCCTGTCCTTGGATAACAGAACACAACATTGTGATTCAGCGGCCTCAAGAAGCGATAAGCGAATGCGGGTTAACGTGCTGTATGTTGTGCATTATATTTTGGTGCTAACTGCTGGTAACTTCACTTTCGCATATTCATAGCAAGTCGCCCTCAAACTACTGGGACTCGAGAATCCTGTCACGCGTCCAAAAGCAGCTCAAATTAATTGTGGTGTCGCACCTTTGGGAATCGCTACTGTCCAGCTGCTCATTACAGGTTTAAGCTAGGGAGAAACCGATACAGTGCAGCAAAACAGGCCACAAGCTGTCTTTTGGTGATTTGATGCATTGGGCTTGCCATGGAATACCTACGCTGGGCGCATTGATGATGTCTTTCCTGATTCCATCCCAAATGGTAGAGTTGTATGCGCCTGTCGACAATACATGGAGCTCCTGAATTATGTGCTACTTGAATCAGATGTCATTGGTGACTTGCCAACAAGAGTTTCTGCGGCAGAACATTGACGCAGGACCAAGCACCATACGTGGATATGTAAAGCTTTATTTAGCCACCAGCGCTGCACCGTCTCCGCAATATAAAGTGTGGGTCTGGCCGGCGAGGCCGGTTTTCACCTTGAGGTCGAGACCTCCGACCGAGACCCGAGCCCCGCGGCGCGGCCGACCGACTTGAGCGAGCGCCGCCCTCTGGCCGACGCCGGACACCGTTTGTACAGGCGGGGAGGAAAGGGGCGGCGCGGAAAACGCCGGGGGCGACCCCGGCCCGCGGGCATGACTAGAGCATTTGGCAAACGACGGCTGTGCTGTCTCCGGTATCACAGGGGCACGAGACGTGCGGCCTTCATCGGGGGGTAGCCGCCCCGCACAACGCACGTCGCCGCACGTGCACTGCTGCCGCCTGTCGTCGTCACCAAGCCCAGAAGTTCCCGGGTATCAGCACTCCCGCGCGTCCACCATCCATTGACCCATTCGTAGCGAATGCCTCACCGGCGAAAATCGTGCTCAAGTGTTCACTGGCCCGCTAGATGGCAGTAAACGCGGCCCGACCGCTGCCGTATTGCACCAGCGCGCGCCGCAGTGCGCCGTCTCTGCCGGGTCTCAGACGGGCGTCACGGTGATGGTCTCCATGTCGCTGATGGACTTGATGCGGCGGTGCTGCCTCTCGACACGCGACTCACTGCTGGTCGTCACCACGGACTGCGGCCGCTCCAGCGGCGGTGGCGGCGGGGGCGCCGCGCGCGCCGCCGACGCCCGCGGCGTCTCGTACACCGGCTCCCTCTGCTGCAGCTCCTGGCGCGTCTTCAGGCCGAATGCCCGGCTCAGCGACCCCTGCCGGATGGTGTCGGGTCAGGACGCCGGCCGGGTCCGGTGTCGGGGCGCTGGGTTAGGGTAGACCTGAGTGTTGACAGTACGGTCAGAGCGGGGAAGAGCGCTGAGTACAGGCAGCGACGGCCGGCACTATATCGGTCACAGCCAGTACGCGTTAGCTGAGTCGGAGATCGACAGTTGTACAGGAAAATATCTGCGTGGGGAAGAACGCTGAGGAATATCTTTGGGCGACGTGTTGTCAGTGATGGGGTTGGGTGGGTAGACAGGTCACGTAAAAAATAGGCCATGCAGTATGACGGCTGTTTATGGAAGCTGGTTTCAGGTCTAAGCGTAGACAACGTATCAGAACACGTTCCTTTGTCTGGGAGCTCTTTCGTAGTCTCCAGACCAGAGAGTGGACTGTTTACAGAGTATTCCCGATTGTTTCTTTTAACCTTTCGAACGCGGTACGCGCAGCGCCGCCACCGCGGACAAAGTCAGGAAGCTGTGCTTATACACATACACACACACACACACACACACACACACACACACACACACACACACACACACACACACACACACACACACACACACACACCACACACACACACACACACACACACCACACACACACACACACACACACACACACACACACACACACACACACACACACACACACACACACACACACACACACACACACACACACACACACACACACACACACACACACACACACACACACACACACACACACACACACACACACACACACACACACACACACACACACACACACACACACACACACACACACACACACACACACACACACACACACACACACACACACACACACACACACACACACACACACACACACATATATATATATATATATATATATATATATATATATATATATATCACGTTCGTATTTTATGTAGGAAAACTTGAGGGCCGTCACTGCAATCTTACCGCTTTCTCACCATTACAAAGGAAGTCATAGGCAAAGACGTCGCCAACGTTTCTTGTTCCCGTCTGAGTACTGAACATGTGTGACCTAGTCCACCCCAATGAGAAACATCACGCTTAAGTCTTGTACAGTGACTGCTTCCCAATGGCCCGCTTCTCATGGATTAATTTACTTATTGTGTGATACGCAACAGAATGATGTTACATATCCCATAATGGCTATTTCTCCCTCGATAAGCTCATTGCATCAGGTACGCAGACATTTCAGTTCCTGATATCAAAGGGTTTTAAACAATATCTATGGGGAAAATGAACGGACAGCTTTGATAAATTTCTAGTTATAAAACTTATGGCTTAGAATATTTTTCCTCGCCTAAAAACACCCTGCAGAGCCTCAAATTTGGCCTACCAAAGCGATTCACCGAACAGCCAAGACAATTTGCGTGAATGTTACCATAAAAAAATGGGCGAATGAACAAGACTTGTCTTCGCAGGATAACATGAGTGACTTTGCAATGATACGGAAATAAATTGCTACATTTCGGATCGAGGGTCCGAAAAGAGACTGCTCTTTAAGAACTCGCGCTGTTCCATTGAAATCGCACTGCCTGTTTTTTTACCGTTCTACGCAAGGCCCCAGGTTCTTTGTCCGTCGTGCACATGACACAAAAGGTAGCGTGACATATCTAAAATGGAACTAACTGTACATCCACGACACGTGTGTTCAATTTCCTCCCAGAACTATTCATGACATAAGCATACATGCCATCGGCATTACACGCACGAAAACATCACAGGGTGTGTTGGAGAGTTGTAAGACAAAAGCGCTGCGTGAGCTTGGGGGGTGTTGTGACGACGTTGGAGAAGGATCCATTCCGCTATGCATGCATTTAGAGCACGTTAGAAGCGACGCTGCTTCGCCTACTTAACAGAGTAGCCAGGGATGAGTGAACAGAGCGTAAGACAGCCACCATGTATGACAGGAGTAGAGCTAATTACCTGCGAACTGCACCATGCGGTGGGCTTTAAAAACGGTAGAACGCATCAGTAAGGGTCTCAAAAACATGTGCACGGGTACTGAGACGGGGGGAACAGTGGCGTGTTTAGAGGCAATTTAGAATAACCAGTCCTTGGCGGCTGGCGTTTCAGGCATTTTATTTTACCTGCGCTTTCATTTTAGTAAAAGGGTCGATGACATAAACCAAAGGAGCATGACGTAAGTAGTTCTGGCCTTTTGACGTCCTCTAGATACGCCACTGCGGTGCGAATGCCAACATATGAACACTAGTCCTGCGACAAACGAATATTAGCAAATAAGCCAGGTATGGCTGGAATCTGCTTCAACTAAAATTAAACTCAATGCTACATGAATTCCACTGTAACCAGCCCGTAATACTCGCGCTGCCCCGCCATAAACTGGGCCAGGGTCACCTCTCACACGGCTGAGACGATCAAACGATTCTAAAAGGACAGCGTCGACACTACACAGGAAACACTACAAGTTTATGGAAGTGCAAACCTTCTTGTGCATGAACTGGAGTTGCATGTTCTGTCAGACCGTCGCGAAAGAGACAGAAGGTGAGTTCATTGGAGGGCATACCACTGTTAGATTATTTCATGGCAGAGAGGAGGCGCAACGTCATGACCCCCTCATCCTCGTTAGCAAACGTTGAACATACGATATCACATATATCACAGATAGCCAGCCACTCCTGAAGTGCCTCTTTACCTATCATGCACCAGTTTACTTGCAAGGTTGTCATCGGGAGGGGGGGGGGGGGAGGAGTTATCAAACAGCGGACACGGTGGATCTGATAACACTTGCCTCTACACACTCAGTGATTACTTCTCAGACAAGCCTGATCTGATTTCTACCGTCCCACTCGAGTTCCGCATCCCTGGCGAGGGCATGGCACACAGTCCCTCCCATTCGGGTCCCGCATCCCTGGCGAGAATATGGCACACCGTCCCTCCCATTCGGGTCCCGCATCCCTGGCGAGGGTCTGGCACACAGTCCCTCCCATTCGGGTCCCGCATCCCTGGCGAGGGTGTGGCACACAGTCCCTTCCATTTGGGTCCCTCATCCCTGGCGAGGGTCTGGCACACAGTCCCTCCCATTCGAGTCCCTCATCCCTGGCGAGGGTCTGGCACACAGTCCCTCCCATTCGGGTCCCGCATCCCTGGCGAGTCTCTGGCACGCAATCATCTGACCATGAGTCATATTCTGTAGTAGTTTCGAGACCCCCCGACTCCGCGGCTGACGTCATGCTCCCCTGCCCTTGTGCCCGTCAGCAGTCGGCCGCCGCGTCAGCCGCGTCAGCCGCGTCGGCCGCGTCGGCAGCCCTCACCCGGAGACTGGAGCCGCGCTTGTCCTTGTCGGAGCTGCGCTGCAGACCGCTGGCGTACGAGCGCGAGAACGGTCGGCCCAGGGTGGCGGCGGCCGGCCGGTCGGCGCGTCGGCGCTCCTGCTCCCAGCGCGCGTACCGCGCCTCCTCGTCCAGCAGCACCCTGCGACGGCCGCGCCCCGGTCAGCGCCGGTCAGCGCGCTGACGACGGTGCCAGCTCACCAGCAACCCGCCAGCCGAGCCAGAACAACAGCCGACCAGCGCACTCGCGAACGGGTGACAGGGGCTCACTATCAGCTAGCCATCACCATCAGTCACCGCGAATGAAGGTCAACATCTGCCACAGCGCCAGGGTTTTGAATCGGGTGCGAAAAGATCCCCATTACCTCTGTCACTCGATGGGGCACAGCGTCTTATGGTCATTCAACATCTCAGTTTACGGCGCATTCAAGTGATCGAATCATTAACGATGCTATACGCCATTTCGACTACTATGAGAGAAACCAAAAACCTGTTGTACAAGAATCCTAAGCCGTGCATATCACGCTGGCGAGATCTTCACTCTGAAGACGGGTCCTCAGATGCTGGCCGGTGTTATCAAACCACACGCTCTACTCTGAAGGCGGATCCTCAGATGCTGGCCGGTGTTATCAAACCACACGCTCTACTCTGAAGGCGGATCCTCAGATGCTGGCCGGTGTTATCAAGCTACACGCTCTACTCTGAAGGCGGATCCTCAGATGCTGGCCGGTGTTATCAAGCTACACGCTCTACTCTGAAGGCGGATCCTCAGATGCTGGCCGGTGTTATCAAACTACACGCTCTGTTAAGTTGCAGTTAGACGTGCTCACTTGCAGCATACCTACATCTATTCAATAACGCTTTGAGTAATGATCAGGCTTAGAGTCACGCAGGAGAAAACAAGGACTGTTTCGTACCTGGCAATAAAGACCTAGACCTAATTATTAGCAGCCGGATGTCGGCCGGCTAGTGGTGAGGCCCGTCTCTAGTGGAGTGTTGTGAGCCCAGACTAGCCGAGCCAAGCCGAGCCGAGCCAAGCCGGGCCTAGCTTAGCCGAGCCGAGCCCAAGCGGGCCGAGCCCAGCCCAAACCAGCCGAGCCGAGCCGGGCCGAGCCGAGCCGAGCCGAGCCCAGGCGGGCCGAGCCCAGCCCAAACCAGCCGAGCCGAGCCGAGCCGGGCCGAGCCGAGCCGAGCCCAGGCGGGCCGAGCCCCGCCCAGATCAGCCGAGCCGAGCCGGGCCGAGCCGCTCACCTGGCCGGCCGCACCAGCTTGTCCAGCTCCGCCGCCAGATGCCGGCGGATCATGCTCTTGGACTGGGGCACGCCCAGCGCCGTGGCCATGGTGTCCGCCGTGAAGGAGAGCTCGAGCGTCACCAGTGCCCCATGCACACCCGAGTCTGGCGCACACCAGAGCAGCCGGTCACTAATGGCACGGCGGCGATCGCGGCAGCACCACAGCCGCACCACCAACAGCATGTCGTCACAGCAGCCGAAACTCAGCGGCTGAAGAGTCGAAACTTCGTCCATTTGAATTCCAGTCAACACGAACGAGCGGTTACATCAAACTGGTTCCTCATCACGTCCAACGTTATATCAGGTGCTCAACAAGATGGAAAAAGAGGAACCGATGTTAATTCAATTCACATTGAGCACTAATGGCTAACAAAGCATGAATTTCCTGTCCGTAACACATGCAACATATAATAAAACATGACACGAAACACGGCCTCCTTTAAGGGAAACAAGTGGGCTGGCGTCACGTTCTTCAGCTCCACTGTGCACTAACCTTTGAGATTATCAGCGTACTCTGCCAGGTCGATGGAGCGGGCCCAGTGCACGAAGCGGGCGTTGGTCCAGACCAGCACGTCGTCGCCGTTCAGCTCGCTGCGCTGGCGGCGCTCGCAGATGATCTGGCGGTCGAACTGCAGCAGCCGCAGCAGCTGGATGCCGTGCAGCATCGACACCTGGCCACGTGACATGACCAGTGATGTAACGGGTGACGTCACGGGTGACGGCGAGGGCGGCGGTGGCGGGAGAGGCCGCAGGGTTCGGCCGTGCTGGCTCCCGACGCCGCCGACGCCGCTGTAGCGCTCCACCAACAACGCGACGCAGCGTGGTATCGGGTGAGAGTCGGGGCCTGAGTTGACACAGTTCAGACGGCCGAAGAGTACCAGCGGGTCGCACCACACAGCTGTCATAATATACAGCGCATGTGAGTTAGGCCTCCGTCGTAGATTTAATTTTATCTGGTAGCCTTTCTGTACCGCTTCCACATTTTACCATTACCATCCATCATCGTTCGGTTACGGTACGAACACGTAATGCGCTCCAAACAAGCCTCGTCCACATTTGGCTCGCCGCCGCTTATCACCTCACCGCGCCGGACACAGCGTTGCCGCAGCGCCAACTCACCTGGTGGAACTTCCTGGTGACGTTCAGGTATTTCTCCATGTCTTTCTTGGTGAGGTGCGCCAGCATCCGTCCATCCATGAGGTGGGCGCTGAAGATGTCGGAGTACTGCGCCAGGCCGACGTCGGGCAACCACTCAGCCGCCACCCAGCCGTGGTTCAGCTGAGAGATGTACGGGTACTTGCAGAGGTGTGGCTGGCGCAGCTCCTCGATGGCCAGCCGAAGCTTCTTCTTGTGCATCGGCTGCAGGATACCAAGACCCCGCTCCAGGTCCACGTCCGTCAGCTCCAGCATCACCTGGTGGACGGACGGAGAACTAATAGACACGCTCCCGGTCCACGTCCGTCATCTCCAGCATCACCTGGCGGACGGACGGGGAGCTAACGGAGCGACACCCTCCGACGCCTGGGCTAGATACACACGAGAGGAGGGCAGGGTCCGGCGGCCTGGAAGTCACGCCCGAACTTATCAAAGAGGTCCAACGGAGCGAGCGCTTCTGCTCGGGGGCAGCCATCGCCTGTGGGATAACCTGCAGACCAGAGGGCAGACGCCAGGTGGCGCCACGTCTGAACCCCACCGGAGGGGTTACACGAGACCTCCCGTGGTGCTTACCGCCAAACAGCGTACTCATGGAAGGTAAGTGAGGCAACAACTTCCTCAGCCGTACGTGTGCACTAAAATGTGGATCTTTTCTTCAAACCATACCATTGCAGGAAACAACAGTCACTTGTTAGATACAAAAAGGTTGCCTGGAGCACGGGAGCCCGCGACGTTTCCTGGAGCACTAACGACATATTTCAGTACCCGGAGTCTTTAGCTTGGCTCAGAATCGAGTCCACGCCTCTCACGTGGAAGACGATCATACTCATGTCTGAGCCATCTCGCCCCCCCCCCCCCCCAAATGGCAGCTAAAATACAATTCAGCTACAAAGTTGGTATGCAATAAAGTACACGATCCCATCACCGGCACTGTCTGACGAGCGGGTACATTACGGCACACAGCGTCACCGGCTCTCACAGCTGTGACTAAGCTGGAGAGAGTCGGCCAACAGGCGACGCCCACCTTGCCGGATCGGACGTTCTCGGCGCAGGCGGGGCCGTACTGCGGCATGCCGAGGGTCACCTGGAGCCAGGCCAGAACCATCGAGGCCTTCCAGCGCTCCATGGGCAGCTGCTGCGCCTCCTCCAGCAGGCGCAGCTTCTCGGCGTACGACTCGTCCGTCAGCGGCGACGAGCAGAGCGACGAGTGTGGCGACCACGTCTCGTCGTCTGCAGCCCGCCGGCGGCCGGCTCAGTTAGTGGTGCGCAGCAGCGGCGACAGGTGGCGGCATGCGACGTGGCAGTGGACACGGTTGGCAGCTATTGGCGAGGCGTTACGGGCGGTCCGACACCGGGGGGAGGCACGGGCACCACGTAATGACAAACATGTCGGGGAGGACGGAAGCGGCTAGGACGGCTACAGTGTGGCGCGGCTGAGCCCGCGAGCAAACCTCGGCCCATGCGTGACCCACACACGGCACAACAGCAGAGGACTGACACCAGGACGAAAGCTAACGGTGGAGGTTAGAAGCTGATTAATGCTATGAGGGCTTTCCTGAGAGCTTAGGCTGGACATCTGTCAAAAACGAAAACACGCCATTAGCGCGGGGCTTTACTGGCGGGTCCGCCAACTGGTGACACCACGTCACGTGGCCGAGAGCACACTGATTTGATGTCGCGGATCATCTCCGCATAGTCAGCTGACGTCAACCCCACCTGCTCCCTCGACGTCCCCTCCACAGCAGACCACTACTAACTTGTGTGCGCGCCCATATGCAGCTGCTTGCGTTGCTTTTGGCGCGAGAACACCCGCGAGATGCTGCCCCAGGTCCCCTGCTTGGCGCCCTTAGGACGCAGCTTGCGGTCCAGCTGGTCAAGCGAGTCCAGCTGCTCAGCCGACTTGGAGATGGAGGCGACGTCGACTGTGTGCGACAGCGTGAGGGGCGACATGGTGGGCGAGCCGCGCTGGCCGTCCGCCGCTGCCGGCCAACCACACGGGACGTCAGAATCAGGGCGGGGAAGGGGAGGAGCGCGAGCCGCGTTGGCTGTCCGCCGCTGCCGGCCAACCACACGGGACGTCAGAATCAGGGCGGGGAAAGGGAGTAGCGCGAGCCGCACTGGCCGTCCGCCGCTCCTAGGTGGACAGTGGACTTCAGGACCGAGGCGGTCGAGGAGGACGAGGCAGAAGGAAAACGCAGCAGGATTTGGGGACTGCCAGGCGGGAGGGATAGAGAGGCGGTCAGGACCGAGGCGGTCGAGGAGGACGAGACAGAGGGAAAACGCAGCAGGATTTGGGGACTACCGAGCGGGAGAGATAGAGACAGGGGGCACATGCAGATATAGAGGAAGCACTCCGAGGGCAGAGCAGGAATGCTCCAAGAAAGGCGAGAAGCAGGGAGACACGGACTCAAGGAAAGAGACAGGTTGCCTGAAACATAGTGACACGGTGACGTAGATGAACAATAGCAACCGAAGCGAGGTGAAATAAGCTTCCGTTTCAGCCACAGCACAACTCCGTTCGCGGGCCACCTGAAATGCAAGACTATTCTGCAAAGTAGGCTGCACGCGGAGGGACCCAATGACGCCATTTGGGTCTCTGTGTTTATTTCATCATTGAAGCTAGTGATGGTATCAGCTCAATACAGCTTGAGAGGGTCTGGTTCATAGCTGGCTAACCACCGTAGCTGGCTTAGCGTCAGCAGCAATGGCGCGGCAAAGCAGCGCTAGCTCGCGTCGAACGAAGCCAAACGACATCATTTCTCAACCACCTCGACACTGAGACACATACCTGGGCGCAAAGCAGAACAAACATCACAGCAATGTTGAGCTACAGCCGAGGGACAGTACATCCAAAAAGCAGGGGTCATTCGGTGCGCTCATGCAACGACAGCTACACAAGCTGAGCTATGAAGCGCGTGGAGTACACGGCGCCACGCAGGCGGCACAAAGGCGGACGAAAGCTACACTGTCTGGCATTCGTTTGATATTCTTTACGATACTCCAGTCAGTTCTGTCTTTTAGCGCTGGAGAACCCGACCGCTGCATCCCGGTGCTGGATAAAGCACATTGCCTGACCGCAAGGCGGGTCGGTGTTTGACACGTAACTTGGTCAGGTGTAACGACCTGATGTAACTTGGTCAGGGGTCATGGTCAGGTGGGTCTGGTTCGCCTCGCTGGTGCTGAGTTTGGTATTCACGCGGCAGATACCTTAAGTCCGGTGGCAGCGGTGAATTTAAGGGAGTGTTCCACCTTTGTATGGGGATTTGAGCTGAAATAGCCATCTTCAGTTTCATTCGATGCAGTTCACAGCCCTGCCCATCTTAATACCTCAAGCCATCTAGTTTCTGAGCTACAAGCCCGCGAATATGTGAATGCTATTTCGTGTAGACTATTTCAACCTCATTCAGGCATGCATGACGCTATAGAAACGTTATACAGATCATGCCATCCCATTGGCGGCAGTGCAGCTTTCAAGGACGATTGAAATACAATCGTCGGGTCGTTCATATCTGGCGTTCGTGAGCACGATTTCCAAATATAACGATGTTCATTGGCCCTCAATCAATGTTATGCAGGTTGTAAAAGTTTCAATCACGAGGCACGTTTTGTGCTACGTAATGCAGGAAGTTGGACATGGATCCTAGTTACTACAGATATAATATTTTAAATATGATAGCTTAAAAATGGTGCCGCAATCGAGCATTTAAACGCAAGCAAAGACCTTAAACTCACGAATAAATGTACAAGAGCACCACGGTGAGTAGCCAAAACACGAAAACATAATGATATCTGGGTTAGTAAACACCTCCATCATCGCCATGGTCACCCCTCAGAAGATTGAGGTGCTACAAGTGGGTGCTAGGGTGCTGGGGTGCTAGGGTTCCGGAGTGCTAATTTCTCACAGCCTAGTGCCTCTTACGATAGTGTCTCAATATCATATAGATATTCCAAGACGCAATCAAACAATGACGCATTGAGGAGAACATTTACTACAAGAACAGACCTTTTTGTCAACAGCAGTCTTTCCACATAAAGTATACCAGAAGGTACAAGCGAGCTCATTTTATCACATCTGATGCTTGCCTCAATATTTTCCAATGTGGGGCATTCTCTTCAAAGGCAGCAGGGACGGACTCAGAATGCGAGAGAGCGGCATATGTTTCAAAATACGTTATCCATCTTTGTTGTTGACCTTAATGTTTTGATAGCCAGCATCACTGATCATGAATTTTACTGCTCGTGCTTGCCTTCGCTAACAGGTATTAGTGCCACATGCGTAAGCTTGCCACAGCCGCGCGCTATCGCCTGACGTGGCTCTGCGCCTGCCACTTGTGGCTCTACACCAGGAGTGGGCACGTGGGCAGGCCAGTGGAGGCTCACACAGCACGACGTGGAGCGCAGCTACAGCCACACACGGAGTGAGGAGGGCACGTACGGGCGTAGTAGTAGTAGGGACTGCACGCGGTTACGGAGGACACTATCGATATCGAGTCATAGTCGGTGGGCACGCCGTCCGGGTTGTGCGCCGGAGCGCCCGCTGCGGAGAGAAGACGCACATAGGTACGGTGTGGGGCGGCCGCTCTCGCGAAGACGCACATAGGTACGGTGTGGGGCGGCCGCTCTCGCCAAGCGGCATACACTGCCAGCTTCAAGGTGGCGCTAGGTAGTGCGGGTGGAGTTAGAGTAAACTGTTTTTGAGCACACCCGTAGACTACTTTCACACCACAACTTTGATGCTGCTTGGGGAATTGTTTGGCTTAGCATGCTTATATTTTTATGAAATTCGTGGCAAGTGAGCTTTGCAACAAGTTTATTACTTTGAGGAAATGTTGATTCGATCTCAAAGACATCAATATCCGATGCCAAGTCCCATTTTATGAGAACCTAGTGAATGCGGTAAGCACACGGTAGGTTAGTCAATGGACAGCTGTACCTCTGCTTGTTGCGACAATGGGGTCACGACATTACAAAACAGAACATTTAGCACGACCCCCAGGGGCCCAGGACACGAAGGCACTGTGACTGATCCCATTGTACGCATATATATGGCCACAGGCCTTTAAGGCACAGTCATGGAAACTAACCGAATGTGATGTCTCCTTTCTCTAGCCAACCTGCGAATAGTTATTTGGCAGAATCATTTTAGTGATCTGCTATTTGTGGTTAGCAAGACAAGCCCAACAACGCCACCTCCAAAGAAAACAAAGCTGGAAAAGAGTATATGGATGCGTACACAAAGGAATATTAGGACGGATGCACGAAAAACATAAAACCAAACGTGAAAAGCATATGAGTCACGAAAACATGTAAACGATATTAAGTCCCCACCCCACATACACCAGTCCATGAGTGACAACAAAACAAGACAACACAGCCTGTGCGTCCAGCCCGGCCTTCAGGAGGAAGTTTAATGCCCGTAAGTTTGGAAACACCATTCCACCGGTATACTTCACGCGTGAGTTGCAGCCACAGGAAATGCTCAACACTTGTCTATATCGTGTACTGCACACTCTTGCAGATGTGAACTACCCAAGCACCAATTAGCAGCAACCAAAAATGAGCCCCAGCCTCTCAGAGTGCACTGGTATGGGAATGCTGGACCTTGACCCCAGACCAGCCGTGATCAATAGCACGTCCTACATTTAGTTCTGGAAGGACGTCAGCAAAAGCCAGGACAGAACGAGTCATCCCCAATGGATCGCCGGGCTGCTCGCACAGGCCGCCAACAAAACGTTAAAAGAAGGAGGAGGGACGCACCGCAGCCGGTCACACAGAACCCAGTCGTACCCTCGCCGCTGGTGGTCGAGTCGCTCAGGTTGCCCGAGGTGCCGGCGGCCACCGAGTCGCGGTCAGAGCTGACTCGAACTCCCGAGTCGGCGCTCGAGCCGCGGCCGTTGGGCGTGCCGAGCGCGCCCGGAGAGAGCGAGGGCGGCGCTGGCGCCAGCGCCGGCGCGGCGGCCGGCGGCGGCGCCGCGGCGCGACTCGGCCGGCTCGCCGCCTCCTGGTCTGAGTAGTAGCCCAGTTGCGAGAGCTGCTTCCGTAGCTGCCGGCACAGTCACGGCTCGTTACACGTCCGCTCGGGTGGCATGGCAAGGGCGGGGATGGATAGCGTAACATTACGCTCGGCCCCTTTAAGAGGGGTTACAAATTCTGCTGAAGTACAACAACGTTTAAGAATTTGAAGCCATATGCCGTTGGCTTCCTCTCATGACCAGCAACGCGCCGTCTTTAGTAAAACAGAATGAGAGAGTTAAAACTGGCCAAATATGCAAAACGTATGTGTGGACAGCCCCTTGCAAACTTTTCGATTATCAGAAGTTTTTGATTTGGTGGCGCTCCGGGATCAGCGCCCATGCTAAGCAGCGTTTACTGCGCAAGCCATCACCCCACAATCCAACCGCGAAATTGCGGGTCAAGGGCAGAATTTTGCGACGAAACCCCCACCCGAAAGCCCGTCGTACCCTCTGACGTCAACCGACCTTAGTGTGGTCGCTGTCACCGACCACCTGCCATTCCGCTCTTGGGCAAACAGCAACCGCCGAAAGGGGCTTAGGCTCATCGCTCCAAGGATTGGTCAATTGTACGGTAGACCCTCTAACCAACTGAGACATAGACGAACAGATGCAATACCTGCCTTTCAATTGCGACATTTATCTGCAAAACGTAAATGAGATCTACATAGATGCTTCTCAAAGTATACTTTGTTAACACTTTGAACCTTATCTTACGTCGCACCTGCTCTTTATCCTATCGTTTCTGACCGGACACCTAACTGAAACACACTTAAATGACAATGAGACGACATATTGTGCCGCACAAAGCCACAATACGTCCTCCCGTGCCCGGTGGCTTCCGTGAACGCGACCACACTTTGAATTTCACTGGGGTTCACTAGTGTTTTGGTACCACTTGATATGGTAAAAACACAACAGTCCGACGCGGCTGCTGAGTCTTCCGGAGGTTCGTGGGTCCTTCTGACTTCTCATGCCCTCTGACCACTAAGGGGATCTCTGGAAATCCAAGGGTCGCAGTAAACGAAAGCGTTTACTGCGACTCTTGGACCCTGGCGACCCCTGATGACAAGGGATCCTGCGACACAAAGACTCGCACTTCTCGAGAGCGATTTCCAGCCCTGAGCACAACGTCGCTGCCTTCGCTGTCGCGTGCCCGGTGCGTCATGCCGCGCTCGTTCCGTACTCACGCCCGTGAGCTCCTCAGTGATGTGTTTGAGCTGGCCGTCCTTGTTGCTCAGTTCGGCCGACAGCCCCACGGAGCGTTCCGTCTCGTCGCGCGCGTGTTTCAGAATGTTCCACTTCTCACGCTCTGTCTCGTCTCGCTCGGCGGCCAGCGTGCGCAGCGACTCGTCGTTTTCCTTTATCCGCTGGGTGGGAGAGACACGTCTTGAAGAACTAGAGACAAGCTCAATAAAAGTGAGAAGGGATGTTCCCTGCCTGCTGGGTACAAATGATAGTGATCATGCCAATTCTTGCTGTTATTACGTCAGTGCTTATGCTTTCCTTTAATTGGGATGATTTGGAGTATATCTAAATACCGAAATATCGATAAATACGAATACCCTGTGCATTGCACAACACCAATGAAATACCATGAGCCATGCATGGAAATGAAAGAGACAGTCAAAATACAAAACACCCATGCCTTCCCCGCTCCCAATTTGGGTTCTATCACTTGTGTAGTACAAAGCACTAGGCCAAGACCAAAGCCGTGCCCGAAAGCGGAAGCAGTGTCTTTCCGCTTCGTTTCAACTTTTCCAAGCACGGACACCAGACACCGTGCGCCCGCGGCTGACCCAAATCGTCCCCCATCGAAGCCCCGCACCCAACACCTGCCGCACCCAGACAGGCTGAGTCGGAGACATCAGACCTTGAGGGAGCACCCAGGTCAGACGTCACACTCGCTCGTAAGGGGGCACTCGGTTCAGACGCCAAACTTAACCCGCGAAGGAGACGGGTGGCAGACAGCGACAAACAGCAGCGTAACGCAGTTAAGCTGACGCCAGGACACAAGTCCGCAGCAGCGCACAGTACTGCCACTTAAAGACGGCTGCATAGAAATCAATGCTGCCGACGCACCTGCCACACACTGGCTCGGGTCGGCAGGTGCCGAGGCACAGCAAGGATGGACCTCATACCGCTGGCCGCTCGCGTCTCCGAGCCAACCCGCCAACTGGTTATAAAACAGTACCCACTCCTTCGGCACGGACCACGTGACTGGTGGAGCCTTCACAGTCACAAAGTATCACGTCAAGGTATGTGGTACATGAAACGCGACTGGTAGGCAGCCAACCCGAGAATACGAATTCACAATCACCAAACGCTCGTAAGCTATTTGCTAGCGTCGTTAGCTTCGCCACTCCTTCATCACTCATTGAGGCGGAAGGGAGGTGAGGTCCGACCTGCTCGTAGTTTCGGATGAAATCACGCAGTTCGCGCTCCTTGTCCTCCAGCGTCTGGTACAGCTGCTTCATCTGATTCAGCAGGTCAAACTTTTCCGCCTTCAACCGCTTCCGGTCAGCCTTGAGCGCTGCAAGGAAAGCGGAAGAATATTGAAGAGGACCTCGGCCCCTGCTTGCACAACCCCCTTTTAATCCTGCGAACAGGAATACATGCTAGTCCAAGCAGCGCGGACTGGAATGGCGGGGTTCTGTAACTGTCCAACACCAAAGACCCTTGTTTTCCTGAAAATTTCGTCCTTCCATGTGGCCAAGATAATGCTGGAAAGCACAGCCCGAACTGCCCTCCTCCTGATGACGTCCACGTTGACTTTCACAAGATACACCATTTTGCTGGATACCAGCCTGTCTCCATATATGCTGATGCTCATCCGTCCGAACTGTCATTATTGTGCTGTCAACATCCCAGCAAAATGAACATCATACCCTCACCTGTTAGGGCCTACTTGGTGAGTACCCCCCCTTACCTGCTAGCACCTTCATGGTGAGCACTACCCCTCACCTGCTAGTGCCTCCATGGTGCACACCAACCTCTCACCTGCTAACGCCTCCATGGTGGCGTTAGCAGGTGAGACTTGACGCCTCCACTTGGTGAGCACCACCACCGCGCCTACTAACGCCCCTTGGTGAATGCCACCTCGGCCTCACCTACTAACACCCCTTGGTGAGCACCACCACCGCACCTACTAACGCCCCTCGGTGAGCGCCACCTCGGCCTCACCTGCTGACGCCTCTTGGTGATTGTCCTCACCTGCTAACGCCTCCTTGGTGAGCGCCACCTCGGCCTCGCTGGCCTTCAGTTTGACGCGCAGCTGGCTGGTCTGCGCCTCGAGCGCGTCGCCGGCGCCGCTCAGGCCGGCCACCTGCGAGCGCAGGCCGCGGCCTCGCTGCCGCAGCGCCTGGTGGCTCGACTGCAGCGAGAGGCAGGCCTCCACAAGACGCGACTGGTCCATTGCCAGCAGCGCTGTGGCAGAGGGGGGGGGGGGGGAGGAGATTAGCGGACATGACCGGCATGCTTTCAGCACTGCCACGGAAAAGGATCGAGATGAGGCTTGCAAATGGTGAAATATTGACATGTCATACCACTTAATACCATGTAACAGCATTGACACCATGTAACACCATGTAACATGTGACGCCATACAAAACCATGAAACACCGTGACATTCTCAATGAACCTTGGTGGTCAGCGCATGAAAGGTGAAGCAGGGCTACATCCAACGACATGAGGCTTATAGACATGTCTGAGGACCCATCAACGGAGTTTGAGGAGGCAAACGTGCTACAGAAGGCCGCCGCCGGCGGAGCTAGAACCAAATGGAGCCGGCACGCCCAGTGCTCGCTTCATTGCGCAGAGTTTGACACATCCATCAAACGGCACGCATTGCGGGTGCTGTGGCCATCATCGGTCGATCGGCAGTGCCGCCCCCCCCCCCCCCCTCCGCGGCCGGGACCGGACGCCGCCGCTGACAGGCGCCTGAGCGCCGGATAAACAAGCGTAAGTGTTCCTGCGGAGCGCCCGCTGCCCGGCAGCGGAGGCGGCGCCTCGGCCACCGACGGCCGGCCGCAACGCGTTTCTTCGCGGGCTATTTGGCAGCCCTGACCGCACGCATTCTTGCCGTGAGGGAGGAGCGTGGCCGGCGACACCAGTGCCCGGACGGGCGCGAACTGGCAGCGGCTGTGACGGCTGGGAGGCGCGCGACGGCCTCCATGAGTCTCAGTGGGCGCCGCCATTGGATGGTAGCGGCGCCGGCAGTTGGCGGGGGGCGACACGTGCCTCGACGCGGCCGGCCGACGGTTGCAGCGGAGCCTAGCAGTCCGAGCGGTGATGGTCTGCTGGCCTGCTGGCCGCTAATACACACTGCCCGGTTCGAATGCCACTACCAGAAGTGAGATATGCTAGCGGATAATTTGGAGCGAACAGAGTCTGCGAATGGAGAGCTTCGACCTGACGCGAGGACTGAACTATTCCTCCTAGAAAGATGTTGGTGAGCTGCCAACGCGATGCCTGTGGCTCCATTTCTGGGGAAGGTCTAGAATGACTTAATGGGAAACCGCCGCTCTTGTTCGTAGAACGGCGCGCCTCTGGGCTTGGGTGAGCAGTCTCACCACATTGCGGAAATCCTCACATCAACAGACGAGTTTGCATGTTAACTGAGAGCACCACAGAACGATCGAGCTTGAGCAGCTGCTGTCTGTGTCATGATGCCCCCCTACCCCCCAAACCCCTCCACGACCCGTGGTGGGATGCCCTAGACTAATGCTGACCTGTCATGGAGAAAGGGCTGGTGGTAGCCAAAATGCCGCCGGTCTTACGTAAACACCCATCGCCCTCTGATGGCGTCATCTTACGTGACTAGCCATAGACCGATCATCGCTGGCAGAAAACGCTTTCAACCCAAATAAACAAACGCCAGTTCATTTCAACAGCCCGTGCGAACGTTCGATGAGCTCAGGGCGCAAAAACCACCCAGCGGCCGGCGCCCAACTTACGGGTCAGCAAACAGTCTTCAGGGCTTCTCTCGTCAGCAGCACATTACACCTCCTCTGCATTCAATCGCCACCTCAAACTTAGAGCGTAAGCTATCTCTGGAAGGGAGTGAAGATCGCCCACAAGAAACTCAGCTCTATCCCGCGGCAGCAGCTGCAGGAGATCGTCCAACAAACGGTGGCCAAATTTAAATCCAATTCGAAATCAATACGACCGCCACCCTTAAAAACGTCTGCTGAAGCGGTTCAGATGTGGAGTAGCACGCCATTCAGGGCTCGAATCAAGTCAGACTGGTAGCGACTGTCATCCAAGTGCGGACATCGCTCTGTTTGCTGATTATGTGATCGACATATCTTGATGAATGATACTATTTTATGACTACTTTGAGCCTCGTTCCGAGTTACGATCACAGAACACACGGTCCCAGAATACACGGCCGAATATAATCACACTACAATGTTCGCCAACTAAGTGTACACAGCCCAAAACCACAGGAATACAAGTCACTTATCGATAGTCCACTATTCTTTACTGTTGTACAGCAAGCATCGGAGGGATCACCGCTCGTCATTCGTGCCAATTACCCAAAATCCGAACCGTGTTCCTGCGATCCGTACTGTTCGTCAATGCAGATCAAGGGTCGTCGGTGGGGCCGCGAGCCATTGGAACGGACTACCGGACGTCGTACGGGCCACGGGTCGTTGGTACGAATAGCGGATCATTGGTACGGATCACAGATAGTCAGTACGGATCTTGGGTCATCGGCATGGATGTCGGGTGGTGACGCCGGGTCATCGGCATGGATGTTGGGTGGTGACGCCGGGTCATCGACATGGATGTCGGGTGGTGGCGCCGGATCATCGACATGGATGTCGGGTGGTGACACCGGATCATCGACATGGATGTCGGGTGGTGGCGCCTCCCATGTTGGCGCGGGAGACGGGTGGTGACGATCACCCGTGACCCGCACCAACCACCCGTGATGGCCGGGACCGACGTGCCGCTAACAGCGGCGGTTGACTCCTGGCCTGCTGGTCGGCCCTCGTCGGCTCCGGGAACGCCCCCAGGGGCGCCGAACTAGCCTGAATCCGGCCCGAACTGGCCCAAGTCCGGCCCGAGTCTGGCGACCTCGTGGGACCGATAGGGCGAGCCAGAATCAATGAACCCACAGCCGGCGGCGAGGCGTAACCCGCCACTGGCCGGGCAGGGGAAAGGTCACGAAACACAGCAGAGCGACCCTCTCAGAGATAACCCGCCGCTGGTCGGGCAGAGGAAAGGTAACGGAACACAGCAGAGCGACCCTCTCAGAGATAACCCGCCGCTGGTCGGGCAGAGGAAAGGTAACGGAACACAGCAGAGCGACCCTCTCAGAGATAACCCGCCGCTGGTCGGGCAGGGGAAAGGTAACGGAACACAGCAGAGCGACCTTCTCAGAGATAACCCGCCGCTGGCCGGGCAGGGGAGGGGATAACCAAGCACAGCAGAGCGACGCTCTCAATGATAACTCGCCGCTGGCCAGGCAGGGGAGGGGATAACCAAGCACAGCAGAGCGACGCTCTCAGAGATAACTCGCCGCTGGCTGGCAGGGGAGGGGATAACCAAGCACAGCAGAGCGACGCTCTCAGAGATAACTCGCCGCTGGCTGGCAGGGGAGGGGATAACCAAGCACAGCAGAGCGACGCTCTCAGAGATAACTCGCCGCTGGCCAGGCAGGGGAAGGGATAACCAAGCACAGCAGAGCGACGCTCTCAGAGATAACTCGCCGCTGGCTGGCAGGGGAGGGGATAACCAAGCACAGCAGAGCGACGCTCTCAGAGATAACTCGCCGCTGGCTGGCAGGGGAAGGGATAACCAAGCACAGCAGAGCGACGCTCTCAGAGATAACTCGCCGCTGGCTGGCAGGGGAAGGGATAACCAAGCACAGCAGAGCGACGCTCTCAGAGATAACTCGCCGCTGGCTGGCAGGGGAAGGGATAACCAAGCACAGCAGAGCGAAGCTCTCAATGATAACTCGCCGCTGGCCAGGCAGGGGAGGGGATAACCAAGCACAGCAGAGCGACGCTCTCAGAGATAACTCGCCGCTGGCCAGGCAGGGGAGGGGATAACCAAGCACAGCAGAGCGACGCTCTCAGAGATAACTCGCCGCTGGCCAGGCAGGGGAGGGGATAACCAAGCACAGCAGAGCGACGCTCTCAGAGATAACTCGCCGCTGGCCAGGCAGGGGAGGGGATAGCCAAGCACAGCAGAGCGACGCTCTCAGAGATAACTCGCCGCTGGCCAGGCAGGGGAGGGGATAACCAAGCACAGCAGAGCGACGCTCTCAGAGATAACTCGCCGCTGGCTGGCAGGGGAAGGGCCAACTGTACACGGCAGACTGCCATTTCGAAATTTTTGGGACTTGCAGGAGAACTTGCAAGGAGCTTTTCCTAGTATTTCAATTTCACCGCAGACACAAGGGGCGACTGAACTGGCCCAATGACTTCACGTGACATCAATCATGTGACAGTCGGGGTCACGACGTATGACCCAGCCGTGACAAGTCTCGCCCCAAGAACACTCCACGGTTGGAGGAGTGACCGTCATCCAGTCAGGGTCAGTAAGACCTGGCTGTGTGGTCATCAGTGAGCCGGCGCTATTTTCGATCGATTCCGCCTGGCCTGGCCCGGCCGACCGCCGTCGCCGCCGTCGCCGCCGTCTGGCGCGCTAGCGACAGACGAGCAGACCAGCGCCGGCCGACGCCAGAAACGGATGGAATGTCGGGGACGGCACGGGGCGCGACACAGGCGCCGACAAACGCCCCCAGACACGTCACGTGAGCAGCCACGCCTCCGAGACGCTACAGATGCCGTCACGCTCGTCAGACACGTGCCGACCGACGTCCCCCCCCCCCCCCCAGAGATGTTCGGTCCAGGTGCGGCGGCTGCCGCGCCTCTCGCGCTTGTCGCAGTTGCGTAATCGCCACATCTGTCCTCGCAGGCCAACAGCCGCACCCATGGCAATCCACGGTTGGTCAGATCCCTCTCACAGCCGTCGCCTTTCTTGCCATGGTCGGGCGATGCAGGGTCGAGCCTTATCCCCGAGGGGACAGGATCCAGGACGTGTTCCCGAGGGAAGGGGCATCAAACCGAACTGCAGCGCACACATCACGGTTGTATACGCCGGGATCGACGAGGCAGCGTACGGAACTAATATACATGCAGTATTTAACGTGGACAGATCTTCCAGGGATTATGTCATCCTCACGTTAGCGACGCTCCTGCATTCAATCCATTTCGCCGGACATGAGCCGGGACGACCATATGTGACTTGAGCATGGAGTATGACAATGCAAGACCACACCAATCCACGATCTGCGCAGATCCCTGACATGCCCAGGTGCTGCGGCTCACAAGGGAGCAGCTCGAGCACCAGCCCAGGACCGTCAGATGTTACTCACCACGGCCCGACTGCGCCGGCCGAGCCAGCCGATCCGC